GAGAGCCACTCTCGAATTCTATGCAGGCACCCGTCTAGCCACCTAAACCACCGACCGAAGGCCCCAGTCAAAATACCGCAACTTTATTGGCACTCCTGGTATTACAAACAAGACCTGTTCTGCGCTAGGGATCCCCTACGGTGCGTTTCCTGCATAGCAGGCGCCCCCGTCCCAAGACCCTCGGCTGCCTGGGGCTCTCTCACCATTCTGCCTTTGGGGCTGAAGATTCCTGCCTGTGGTCTGAGCCAAGCCAAATTCCTTCAGGCATTTTGCATTTATATCGTTTCGCTTCAGCGTAGGAAAGCCCTGTCCAGCCATTGGCCGCTCACTTCACCATTACTGAAGCTGCAGGCATAAAACTTGCCTTGTTTTGTAGATCCCATTCAGCCGTGGACATAGCTATGTCTTTTTAAAGTCAGGCACAACAAGTTGGTTGTATTGTGCTCACACTGAGGACCCAACAAAGAACAGCGTTTCAGTTAAAGCCATGCCAGAATCAGTCTGTCAGTGGCAGGTTATTATTTATTATTGGTGTTATCACAGTGCCTAGGAGCCTTATGATTAAGCCAAGTAAATTAAATGCAAAGTTTAGGCATCAACACAACACTAAGTTTTACAAGTCTAGGATGCAAGTTGGACGTTTCCAATCCTTCCCCCCCTCCTCCTGGAACTTTAACACAATGTTGTCTTGTCCGCCTTGCACATACTGCAGGTAGTATTATACATTTCTGTTTCTCTTGTTAATTATGTTATTGAAATAACAAGATGTGCACACATAGCCCAGTTAGTAATGCAATAAGAACCTTAACTTTAGGAATGCCCTAACTTTCATGGGTTTTGTTTTATTAATGTCACGAGCATTAAATGTAAAAGTTATTATTTTAAATCCTATGCTAACCTCCCTCCACCCCATTTGCCCAGCTGTGGCAGCTATTAGGATTCTGTGCTTTCTCCTGGGAGAAGGAAGTGGGTGGGTTTGGACTGGGGTCCAGGATTCCTGGGTGGGAGTCTAGGGGAGATGTGCTACTGGGATTCTATTCTGTGTAAGGTTCCTATCCCATCCTCATCAGCACAGTATCCCAGCCCCTTCCAGCAATACCCTATAGTGCGTGACACTCTCACAGACGTTGGGAGACAGGCCAGTCCTCGCTTACAGACAGCCCCTCAACCTGAAGCAAATACACACCAGCAACTACACACCACACAACAGAAACACTAACACAGAATGAAACCCTGCAACAAATCCTGGTGTGAACTCTGTCCGCATGTCTATTCAAGGGACGCCATCACAGGACCTAACCACATCAGCCACACTATCAGGCGCTCGTTCACCTGCACATCTACCAATGTGATATATGCCATCATGTGCCAAAAATGCCCCTCTGTCATGTACATTAGCCAAACTGGACAGTCTCTATGCAAAAGAATAAATAGACACAAATCAGACATCAAGAATTGTAACATTCAAAAACCAGTCGGAGAACACTTCAATCTCCTGGGACACTCAATAACAGACTTAAAAGTGACTATTCTTCAACAAAAAAAAGCTTCAAAAACAGACTTCAGTGAGAAACTGCAGAACTGGAATTAATTTGCAAACTTGACACCATCAAATTAGGCTTGAATAAAGACTGGCAGTGGCTGGGTCACTACAAAAAGTAATTTTCCCTCTGTTGATAGTCACCCCTTCTTATCAACTGTTGGGAATGGGCCACAACCACCCTGATTGAATTGGTCTCGATAGCACTGACCTCCCACTTGGTAAGGCAACTCCCATCTTTCCATGTGCTGTATATTTATACTTGCGTACTGTATAGATTCAGTCCATGCATCTGATGAAGTGGGTTATAGCCCACGAAAGCTTATGCCCAAATAAATTTGTTAGTCTCTAAGGTGCCACAAGGACGCCTCCTTGTTTTTAGTATATGTCAGGTGTGGGATTTTCCCAGCCTCTTCCCAAAGAATGGGTCCAAGCCTCCCTTCCCAGCAGGCCACCACCTCACCGCCCTGGGCAGCCTTTGCAGGCCGAAGGAGGGAAGTGAAGACTACACTTCCCAGCATGCCGCGGGGTGAGCTCCCGAGGGGGCGGACACTATAGCTGGAGACGGTGGGCGGGGTAGGAGGAAGGGAGCCGGAAACGGCAGTATACGGTGGCCCGGAGGCAGGGCGGCGGCAGCGGCATGGAGTCCGTCGTATTCGTCTTCTCGCTTATTGATTGCTGCGCTCTGATCTTCCTCTCCGTGTATTTCGTATCCTCTGGGCGAAGGGGCCGGGGAGGGGGCGGCGTGTCGAGCAGAGCCGGGGCTGCTCGCGGCGTGGGGCGGCACCGGGGCGGTAACTCCAGGAAGGGGGGGGCTTGGTGAGGGATAAGGGGTGCTACCCCTCCCCCGGGGTGGGGGGGGGAGGAGGAGGAGTAGGAGGGCTGGGGTATCCCGGGTTGGGACACTCCCGGGGTGGCATGATACCCGGGGGATGGGGGTTGGAAGGTGAGTAGCTCCTAATTCTGCGGGGACATGTTTAAGCCTAAAGGCCTGATTTCATTGAAATGTTGTTTTAACAGTCAGGAAAGCAACATCTGTAGATGTTGGGGTTTGTCAAATCCTGTTTTTGCAAAATCTCATTTGGGGCCGAAGTTGTTTCTCTGATATAGTTATTCTGTTGTTTGGATGAATAATGTGATAGTCATCCTTGTGAATTTCTCTGTGTTTTTGGGAATGATTTGCTAGTAATTTACATAGGATCTTTTAAATCGCACATTTGTCTCTCACTGTTGGCTCTCTACTTTAATTGGAGGATGAAGAACAATTAGTTAAGGATTTTAAAAAATAATTTGTACAATAAACATGGATGTTCCTCTGTCATACACAGATTTGGGTTCTGTTCCAATTTCATCATGATACAGCACATCTTGCATAGCTATCTAACAATAATCCATGAAGGTGCAGAAGATTCTGATTGTTGCTATGACTAAATGTACAAATCACCTACCTGGGTGTTGAACTGAACTCTGCTCTCCACAGAATTATCTCCCTAGATACATGAGCATTCAAAATACTTGTGAATTTTTGTCAGCCATTAGTTTCTTCTGAAACTGCTCGGGTAAAAAGGAAGTTGGAGAATGTTGCTAGGACTCAAAAAGGCAGCAGAGGAATAAGCTGTTACGTGAAAACATTTCTATAACACAGAAGAATGTGCAAAAACATGGTTCAGTAATGAAAGCATGCAGTATCCAATCCTCTAAATACAGAATTTCAATTAATTGCAATATGCTGCTTACACTCATAGTCCACATAAGGAAAAGCACACTGTGCTGCTTCCATATAGTTCATGTTATCCTGATAATTGGATTTGGGGGAGGAGAGGTGCGCTAAAGTGTTTTTTTAAATCTCAAAAACCTCTAAAAGTTTGAGAAACCTTTGTAATCCAATGTTCTCTGGATTCTGTGGATGTCTTATTCTGTTGGAAATGTGTTCTTTGTGTTAGTATGCCACTAGTTCCTGGTTGAACTACCTTTGTAATTCTCCTTACACAAGGTTTCTCTAATCGCTCTTGTTTATTGTTTTATGGCATTGTTAGGATGCAAAGGGCACTGGGTCTTCATTAAAATCTCTCTTCTTGTTTCATCATGACACACAAACGATGGCCTGAAGGGTTTTGTTTCTAAGGTAAATCAAAACCGGAAAGCCTTTAAAAACATCAGGAATATCAAGTGTCTTGTTTTTGCTGGAGAGCTTGAGTATGAACTTTCATACCTCATTTGGGGAGAAGTGGGGGTAAATCTTTTTTCAAAGAGAATTTTTCTGACTAAAAATCCCTTCTCTCTTCTGGAATCAGTTTCTTGTGATAGCATCCCACTTGTTCTCCAGCCGAACATAGAGAAACCTGACATTGCTGCTAATTTTTTTTTAAAATAGCAGAACTAATGTTTTTAAACCTTTCAGGTGACTTTGTATGTAAAAGAACAAAAAAGTGCACATTTTTCTTCCTTCACAGATTATCTTTAAATAATAGTTCTGATATTAAAAGCACCTCTTGTTTTTCTTGTGGAGTAATGTCATGATTATACACTTCAGAGTATCCATCACCAGAGCATCTGGGCACTATTTATAAAATAAACATTAGTTTGCATTTTTCTAGCACTTTGCATTGGGGATCTCAAAGCACTCATAAATGTGAACTAATTATAACTCTCAATACCCCTGTCTGATGGTAGTATTCTCAGTGAGTTAAGAAATACTGTATTTGTTTTCAGTTATAAGCATAGGTGCCAACTCTGTGAGTGCTTGGGGCTGGAGCACCCACGGAGAAAAATTGGTGGGTGTTCTGCACCCACCAGTAGCTCCCCACCCCAGCTCGCCTCCGCCTCTTCCCCTGAGTGCGCTGCCGCATCCTGCTTCTCCCCTGTCCCTCCCAGCGCTTGTGCTGCAAAACAGCTGTTTCGCACAGCAAGCACTGGCAGGGAGGGGGGAAGAGGAGGAATGCGGCGCACTCGGGGAAGAGGCAGGGCCGGGGCAGGGATTTCGGGAGGGGTCCAATGGGGCAGGGAGGGGCCGGGGCTAGTAAGGGGCTAAATTCAATTGATGTCAGAGGGACCATTTGTATAAATAAGTGTCGTAGGACAAGGCCCAGGAATGGAAACTGCGTTGAGAAATAAGCAAGCTCTGGAGTTCCCTAATTTGTGTTCAGTGTGTTGAAGCACTTGGCCGACAGTCATTAGTAAAAAGCATTGTGAGATCACTTGTGTGCTGACTCCACTGTGTTCCACATCTTTTCCTCACACATGTGATACAGTAAAGAGAATAAAATAGGACAATAAATGTAATTTACCTCAAATGTAACTGTGACAGTTTTGCTGTAACAGAAAAGAGTGTCCCAGTTAAGGCCTTAACTCCTCTGTCCTATAGTAACGATGTACCTAATTACTGTGAGAGTTAAAATATAGCTTTGAATTACTGTATGACAAAAGATGTTCCTTATCTTGGACTTCAGATAATAACACTATCAGATTTGGAATGTGACTATATTAATGCAAGATCTTGCTGTTCAAAACTAAATAAAGTAAGAAATCTTATGTTGCATTTAATTTGATAAAACTCAGTAGATCCTGTGTCCTACCATTGGAAACAATAGGGGGTGCTGTGAATCTCAGAATGGTGATGGGTGTTGCTTTTTCTTTTCCCACGCCTTTCTCTCACCTCAACTCCTAGAATGAACCTTTCTCCTATGTCCAACAGTGTGAACTGTGAGGCATTCCCCCTGTCCCTGGTGCTTTTGAGGCAGACTAATAAATTGGCCGTATACGTGCAGCTTAGGCAGCACTTTGCTTAGAATCTCTAGATTCTCTGCCTCTATCCCTGGGGATGAGGCAGACCAATTGTGACATGGTTTTGTGATCTTTCTAATGCTTTTTAGTTACTTTATCAGAAATCTGGCTATAATTCTTGGCCTTTTTTGACCAGAGCAGTTCTCAGGCCTTGTCTACCTGAGAAATTGTAGCATTTTAACTAAATCTGCTTAGAAACTGACGTAGTTAAATTGGTATGTTCCTCTTGTGTGGACATACTTATTTTGGTTTGAGTGGCATAAGATTAGGTTTGGCAGAATTCAGGAATTTTTGAATTTCAACAGATAATATTGATTATTTTTAGCCTTTATTAGTTTTTATCATTTTTAAATTTTCAGTTTCACAGTGAGGCTCCAGCATACTCTCTACACAGCCACGGGGCTGATGACAGCAGAGCTGCAGGGGGCTCCCTGCACAGGTGTGCAGCCCAGAATGCCAGATCCCTGTGGGTTCTAGGGCAGGGGAAGCTGCGTTTGCTGTACGGAGCAGAGACCCCTTGGAGGGACCACAGTGAGGTGGATGAGTACTTGACTGTACGGGAGGCCACCCTGCTGCTGAATGGCTCCTGCCTAGAGATGGCCTCCTGCTCTTCTGGTTGGTGACTATAGGGGGCCTCTGCCTGGTCATATAGCAAAACCCAGGATACCAAATCCCTGTGGTTGCTAGGTGTGGTAAAGGCTGCATGTACTTATTGCTGTCAATGGATTCCCCCTCCACCCCCCCCATTTCTGTATGTTAAGTGAAATCAACATTTACAGATCACAAAAGATTTAAATTAAATCCTCCTGATGAAGATTCCCAACTTGAGATAAATCCGTATAAGGCCCTTTTACACACAAGTGTGTCCACTGAAGAGGGTTGCTCCAACTTAACTAAATCAAGTTCTAAGCCATTGGTACCATTTTTCCATGTAGCTCAGGTCTGAGACACTGATCTACACTTGTTGAGGTGGGTCACTTTTCTTGCTTTGGTTGGTTTTACATTGTTGATAGATTTGCTGCCTATTTTCTGAGCCCTGGGGGTACTGTTGTTCTCCGCAAATCAAGATATTTTTTCAGAGACTGTATCAAATTGAACAAACACCAAGGAGTGGGCTAATTGCACTGTAACCAGGGCAGCATGAAGGAAAAAAATAAATAAAAGGATTGATTTGTCAGTTTTCTGGGTTTTGAGATGGTCCCCACCTCTGTGGACACACGCTACATTTTGTTCACATTGTGTACATTTTACTTGTTCAGATGTCCATTATCCAAAGTGATAACTAGTGATTGATATTAAATATGTGTCACTGTTTGTGCATTCATGTGTGTGGTTTTTGGTTTGTTTTTTGTTTGTTTACTGGACTCTGAGTAGAGAATCTGAGAACTTTAAAAAGTTATTTCATAGTAAAACATTTTTCAAATATCAAATGATGGGAAAAAATCTAACACAGTTACCGATTTAGATAAACCTATTTCAGATCAGTTGAATGTGTCTCTTTTCCTACTCAGTTACTCTTTCTCCCCCCCCCCCCCCCCAAGAGTTAAATAGGTGAAGGTTACACTTTTGGTGAATTGACTTGTATGGACAAATAAGCAAATCCTCAAGTGTAGGGAATCATTTTGCTGAGTAAATACTTCTAATGAAACTGATAAAATGAAGAACCTGACTGTTCAACCTTCTGTGGCACTTTTCCCAAAAAAGTGGGTTTGTGACTCATGTCCTGTCCAGATTTTATTACATTCTACCTACCTAAATCCCACGCTCCTTGCAGTTGATCTAGAATTTAATATTCTTCTTTTTCTGCCTTAAATTGTTGTGTAGTGTAGCTGTGTGCAAACAGCTATTGTGTTTCACCCCAGAATGTGATGCATTTCAGTGGAGCTGAAGCGATTCATATAGTTGAGTGCTATGTAGGTTCTTTCTCTGGCTTATCACCATGGTATCTGGATAAAAGGCGGTATATACATAGATCTCTAATACAGTGGGGAAATGTTTCCAGAACTCTTTCTTTAGACAAACAGGGTAGATTTTGATTTAAATTACTTCAAGTTAAATATTTTAATCATGATTTAAATCTGCCTGCAGGAAATCAATTATTTAAAATCAAGATTTTAATTATGTTTTGCATTTGTAAGTTTTTCTTTCCTAAAGTAAGGTTGATTCTCATTGATTAGTAACCACTCAAACATGTTGATTTCCAACTAAGTATATCCTTTTTACCCTAAATTGGAACTTCTTTTTGCTAACCAGGAGGCTACACTATTGTCTATATACATATGTTTAAACAATTATACAGCTTAACATATGTATATTATCAGATTCTTAATTTTTATTTTTCATAATAGAAAATGGGGAATGATGCATTTCTTATTCACTAGATTTTGTGTGTGTGATTTATATGGATGGAAATTGGAATTTAACTAAAAATGCTCAAAAACAGCATTTTAGTTAAATAAAACTAATAACTTTATCTTACATGTGCTGGAAACATAAGAAAAAAGTTTATCAGAACACGTTTTGCATCTTAAACTAACTGATTTACTTACCAAAGGAAATGTTATCTGTAGTTAGTGAATTGAAGTGATTGTTTCTGGTCACCATGTGCCTCAAGATTTTAGAACTAGTAGATGTCATCTTGCACCTATTTTTTATTCATATATTGGAAGAGGAAAATAAGCTTTCCTGCTTTTTCACTTCCAACTGGTTTCTCAACTTTGAATGAAGTAGTCACTAGTTGAGTAAACTGAAATGAAGAAAACATTCTCTGCACCTGCAGAAGAAGCTGGTGTAGCACTTCCAACAAACTTTGCTTCCAGGTGCTTAACCAGGGACTTCCACCAGTTCAGTACTTTGATTTTCTTTAAAACTTTGGCAGCAAACATTGACTGCCTAATATAATCAATTAAAACCATATGCTAAATAAAAAAAAAAAGTAAATTTAAGCCTTTACATAGTTTGTCATCATTGCAAATTTAATTTTAAAACCCCCTTTAATTCTAAAAATGAAATCTGATTTTAATTTTTTTTATCAGTTTTTATCCACTATGTGTACACATAGAGGTTTTGACATAATTACACTAAGGGTTGGTTCCTTTAGGGGGCGCACTCTATGTAAATGTTTAAACTTCTGTCATATTTCCTTTTTTGCAGTGGGTGCTCCCAGAATTGACTGGCCATACTATTGTCACTGTATTAATGCTTATTTCATTGCACTGGTTCATCTTCCTCCTTAATTTACCGGTAGCAACCTGGAATATATATAGGTAAGTGCACAGGATTTTATTTTCGTGTTCTCTTGAAATTTCACTACTTTCAGACTCGAGTTTGAAGATAAACTGTATGTTGTCCCAGTACATCGTGACTGGATATTTCATTTATATCCTTGAGTTGTTTAATTCACTGTAGGCGCTTTTGAAACTGTTCACAAATCTGACCTTTTTAAAATTTCCCATTTAGCCCAAAAGTTTAGAAAATTGGCCTCTCTAGCGCTTTTAGGTGAAAATTCAACAAAGTTTGAGAATTTGAGATTCTTCAGTCTGTTGTTTTGTTGTAAAATTTATAATGACAAAGTACCTTGCTACTGTGAGTCAGCCTCAGGTTTTCAAGGATATAATGGCTTGAGCCTTTGAAAATAGTAGCATGTTAATGGAGTGAAATACTGAAAGCTCTGGTGCCAAGATGTTTCCTCTCATTGCTCTGGTCCTGTGTCCCATGCCCATGTGCTTGTTAGATTCCCCTCTTTCAGGTTTCACCCCTCACTTTAAAATCTCACCAAGAGATGGTGTAAAGACAGTTCTTGTACTGCTGCAACTATGTGGGTATAGTGATACATCCTCTGTCGTGGATGTTGTTGTACTGGTATAAAATTTACAGGAATAAGCAACACTGATATTGGCACCGTTAGGGTATATCAGTGTTCATGCAAGGAGGCTGTATTGCTTTAACTATTAATTTCTGCACCAATATTGTTTATAACAATTCAAAGATTGTGTATAGATGAGGCCCTAGGTGCTACACTTGGCTATGACTCTTCCCTTCTCTCTGCCTCTGTCCAAACTTCCTGTTCATTGCTTCTTTCACCTCCATTGTCCGCTCTCGATTTTGTGCCATCTGTGCTGTCCATTGTGCCTTGAACAGCCTGCCATTTTGTGTATCAAGCTCCATCTACCTGTCTTAAATGTGTGTGTGTTTAAAAAAAAAAAAAAACACCCCACACCTATAGCATAAAGCCCTCTCTCCATTTTGTGTGGTGTGTACTAGTATTGCTGCATTTTTGAACTGGGAACTCCTTAGGACAGGGACCTGTTTCTCTCACTTGTTCGGTTGCTGCACAGAGAAAGTGTACGCTAATGTCACCATATTAATGAAGAACATGAGCAAGATCCTTGCAAACCACCATTAACCTTCCTCCAGAAGCTACCTGTAAGATGAAGTGCATGTGGCCAGAAGACCAAATGCTTATCATTTAGTTGTATAATGTTTAACTCAGAGAAGCAATTCCATACTGTCATGAAAGATAAGTCAGAATAATTATGCTTGAGTTGTTTTTAAACAAGACATACAAATTTGTTATTGCCCTTGGCTCAAAGAAAAGTGCCAGTCAGCCCATAGCATTTGAGTAGCATGAGTCTCTAACTTGTATACAGTACCTCCCTTGTATCTATGTACGTAGACTGCGTTTGGCTGTGAAGTGTCTTGTGGTATAAATGCATGAAAGATGCTCCATAAACTAAGTGATATTGCTCAAAAAGACTGTTTACCTTGGTAACTGACTAATTTGGGTTAGACTCTTTCTGCAGCAAGGCTGTACTTTTTCTTGCAAGACTTTCTAGGGGCGTTCCTCGGGGTTTTGAAAATCCCTCCTACTTATTTCCCCTTTGAATAACTCAAAGGTATTGTAGTGTCCCAGCCTCTGGAAGAAAATTTAAAGTAGCCTGTCAATGTCGCTCCTTGTTGGCAAGTGCAGGTTATAGAGAGCAACACAATGCCTGCCCTCCCCATCTTTAATAAAAGAAACAATTCTTAAAGGCCATTTTGAATAGTCCGATTAAGTTTAAATATTAGATGTCAGTCACCCAGAAGTAATAGACCTTCTGAACACAAATATCCAGGTTTATTTTTTTCAATTTTAATTTACAGCTGGTATGACAAATTTAATGTAACAATTCAGTTCTGCACTTCTCCTTCCCCTGCAGGTCAGAATTACAAACTGCGTTTTTAATATCACCTTCCGTCTGAGAATCTTGGCATCCTTTACAAACACTAATAAATATACCCAACAACGCTGTCAGTATGTAACTGAACCATTTTACAGGTTAGCAAATGGAGGTGCAGAGAAATAAATGACTTGGCTGATGTCACACGGAAAGTGTGTGGTATGGGTAGGGATAGAATCCAGATATGGTCCCCACCACTATCTGTCTGTACAGGAAATATTGTATTGAGATGAACAACAAAAAATGCATGGGTCTGTCAGAATACATTTAGGAAGAGTTGTGGGAGTTTCCATTTGTGAAACTAGGATTAAATATTAAATCATAATCCATTTATGAGCATGAACTCTAAACTGCTATCGTCAGAAAGATTACTCAGAATCTTCTTTCTGAGCTAATGACATTTCAGAAACCAAGTTCTGACCTACAACAAAATTACTGCACCTGCAGGAGTTTTGAGTGGTGCCAGACTATCCGTTTCACCCAGAGCTGTGTAGAGTACAAAACAAACAACTGAAGAAGTCTTCTTAGCTTCCTTATGATCTTAGCAAAACTGTGCTCTGTTAAGAGGCTGGTCGCCAGGGTGAATGTTCGTGTGGACAAAGTTAGGGTCATGTTGTGTTTTTGTTTTTTTAATTCCCCTTGAAATCCTGTATGTTAGGATTACCACACAAATAGCATGGAAGTTTGTCACGGAGTTCAGTGAGCCAAATTCTGATATTTATATTGAGTAGCATCTCACTCCACAAGTAGTCCCATTAATTTCAGTGAAAGTTTCATAGAGTCAGAGATGATCTGACATGAATAGGGTTATTCCAGTGTGCCCCAGTGGGGTCAGATGCAGGCCTATACTGCTTAATGAGGCTGAATGTGAGACAGCTTTACAGGAACAGAGTTGCTTGAGGCAACAAAGGGGGGAGATTCCCAAGATTCCAGGTGGTCAGCTATTTAGAAATCCTACCTGATCTCCTTGTTCAGGGTCTGGGATATGTAAGATATCTGGTCACTTAACTTTCAGTTCCTCTACTTTTTGCAGGATAGCAGTGATACTTTTTACAGCAGTCTCAAATGACGCACCATTTTGGGCTTCTGTATTAACACTCTGCTTTCAGTACCCAGTTTTTCAACTTAAAGGGACACAGTTAACTTGAAATCTAACCACTTTCAAAAAAAGTGAAATATAAGTAGTAGTAAGCGCCACAGCTGCCCAAGTAACCCTACCAATCGTGGTGGTAGTAGCATGTTTTTCTTCTCTGGTGCTGTGTGAAAGACCCCACACAAACAAGCTAGGAAACTCGGAGCATGTCTATATGCAAAGGTCTTTCAGAGGTAAAGTAAAGCAATTGAAAAATGGTGAAAACACTTATTCAGTTATAGGCATCTTAGATGTTGGTTGTAACAATAGGTTTAAAAAAATTGTGATTTTTGTTTTTAGTAGGCAACCCTTTAAAACTTAAACAAGAATTAAGAAACTTACTTTAACGCAGCACTGAAATGCTTTCATTTCTAGTGAATTCTAATAGGATCTGAAGTCTCTCAGCCCTCCTTTGCCTCAAGGCTTTATGCCCTGTAGGAAAATCTAATACAAGCCTGTGCCCCTAAGATGGCAGCTCCATGTCACGACTGGAGGTTGTGAAGCACTGACATGTATTTCTAGGAATAGTATTGGCAACTTCTTTGCTATATTTATTTATTTTATTTATTTATTTAGTGCTCTTAATATGTCACCTAATTACTGCAATTTTTTTTTTTAGAAACTGACTCCAAATAACAATAAATAACTCAAAATTCTACCAGCTTTAATTTAAAATTGCATCTCTTCCTGTTTTGTGTGTCCCAAACCCTCCAGTGAGGGCAGCAGTTCACACGTTTACCTCAAAGGCAAAGCAGGTAAAGAAGTGTGGCATTCATCTGCTAAGCAGTTTAAGAAAATGATGCAATATGTTCCCCATGGAAGAGGCACTACCAGGATATGTTTCATACGAGCACAAAGTTCATGTTCTTTGCTTTATTTAATTGAGGCACCACAAAGTAAACTGGAAAGTAACTTTCGTCTCCAGCTTTTCACTTACTTTAATGTTAGGGATTACTTGTAAAAATAAAGAAACAATTAGCCAACATTTATTTTTTAAAAAATTTAAACAAGAATAAACTTGCGTTCAAACATGAAATTCTTTCATTTCCAATTGTTTCTAATGAGACCTGCATTTTCTGTGTCCTAATCTGCCTTATGGCACTTTGATCACAGATGAAGTGAATCAGAGAAATAATATGGAGTGGATTTCTTTCTTTTGTCCTGGCTGTATTCTGGTTGAATTTACTCTGGAGTTGCATGGCTTATTAGTGCTATGAATAGTCTCTCTCTTTGCTGGCAATATCTTTTCCCCTATGTTTGGTAAGGTAAAGGGGGAAAGCTTCTCGGTACCATGGTAGGGAAGCCAAGTTTCTCTTGTATGCAGAGGCAACCAAAGGTTGTTTTGGATTTACACTTCTGAGATCAGGAAAAGAGGGCTCAGAGCAGGAGTTTAATAAGGATATGCCCAACTAGTCTTTCTGTTACTTCTAGGAAGGTAGGGCTGAGGGGCTATCCAAACTGGATATTAATCTGGGTCATTTGAGGTAAGGGCTGCAGTCTTGGACATATTCAGACTGGTCTTGTAATGGAAACACAGTCAAGTAAAATGTAATGTCAGGTGAAAATACTTGTTTGATATTCATATGATGCTGAAATTTATTTTAGTGGCTTTATTCAGGGTTGAATTTTTTTGCTTTTTGGTAACTATGCTGAGTCTCTGATTTTGTTTGTTCTTTATCCTGGGGCCACCCAATGTCTGTCTCAGACCCCAAACTAAAAATATTTGAATTTCTCTATTTCTTATCAACTGACTTTCCTGTTCCCCAGCCTAGCTGTTTAAATCAACCTTGGGGAATTTCTAGTTTTTACTAGACACTGAATAACCTTTTTAATGGCTTTATCACTTTTAAACAAATGGAATAGCTGCTCCAGCAAACACACAGATGCTTCAGATTCTGCCTGCCTAGGAAGTGGGAGGCCAGGACTTCTGTCTCAAGTTCTGAGTGGTAGCATGAACCCAGCTGCTGCAGGAGAATTGCAGAAATATAAAATAAAATCAGTGCTTTGTTTAGTATATTCCCCTTCAACCATTTTGGACAAATATAGGTGACTTTGTCTTTGAACATTCTGGCATAGCTGGTCAGATGTCATCCATTACATGTTGCACTTTGCATAGGTGGGACTTTATCATTATATACAGCAAAGCACCAAATTCTGGCCTCAAATGCTTATTACTCACTTGCACCGAAAAACATCCAAGGGGAAAATTTGGTCCAAAATATCAAATGGCACCTTGTCAGAATCAAGTAGGAGTGTAACGGTCCTTGCTCCAGCATTGTTCTCACTTGCTTCACCTCTGGAATACTGCTACCCTTTTCCTCAGAGAGAATGGATTAAATTATGATTATCTGAGTTTTAGGTTATGTAACAAAGGAATACAAAACTTAGAATTTCTCATCTCATAATAAAAATGAGGTCAACAGCACTTCTTCTCATTCCTGCCTGCTCTCTGATTTGGTCTGTTACAAAAGGTGTTTTCTTCATTTCTATGGCACTACAGAATCAGAGCCCTCCATATATTAGTAAACATGTTCATCACACACCTCTGAGAAGAAGGGATGTATCATCCTCATTTTACAGATGGGGAACTGAAGTATGGAGAGACTGTGTATTGCCCATGGTCACACAGGATGTTTGTGACAGATGTGGGACTAGAACCCAGATTTTGTACAGCCCATTAATAGTGCCTTAACCAGGAGAACACATTTCCTCTGACTAGTTGTATCTGGCAGTGGAAGATGCTAATTCTGCCCAGAATCCTAGCAAAATCACTAGTGTGTTTAGGTTTAAGCCTCTTCACATTAACACACCTCCTCACTTTCGTTGGGCACTTTCTCCATAAATCTTGGTAACACAAGCAGTAAGAGAACTCATATGGAATCAGTTATTACCACTGAAACTTTAATATGTGAATGTAGGTATATTTATAGCTTTCCCATGGCCACCTATTGTCCAACTCATTTGTGGATGCAAAGATTAGGTGATATCCAATATCCTGAAATTTATGAGAACAGCTGCTTTGTACCGAATTAGAAAATGACTCTTAAAATGGGGAGCAGTCTTTGTTTTCCTTCTTCAGATGTTTCACTAAGACTTGTTTAAATACTGAGACTAAAATTATTTTGTTTTTAAACCTTTCAGGTTCATTATGGTGCCAAGTGGGAACATGGGGGTGTTTGACCCCACAGAGATCCATAATCGGGGACAATTGAAATCGCACATGAAGGAAGCCATGATTAAGCTAGGCTTTCACCTGCTTTGTTTCTTCATGTACCTTTACAGGTTAGTCTTAAATTTTGTGCAGCATAGGAACAAAGGAATTGTCATACCCCTATTTCATATCCTCTTTATTCTGCCGCTGTAACTGCATATCTATCCTCCTTCTGCAGCCTATTTAAGCTCTTTGCCCAAGTAATACCTTGTGGCAGTCAGTTCCAGGTTGAACATGCACTCTCAAAATATTTATCTTAATCAGTTTGATTTGTTTCCTTGTTCAGAAATTTATGAGTGGGCCTGACTAACTTCTAAACTAGGATGATTTAGTTTGAGGGAATCGGTCCTTCATGCACCAGCTTCTAACTGTGATGTCACATTCTAGATTATGCAGGGAAGAAGGGATTCAAGACTCCCTACTTCTAATGTAGGGGGGGGAAAGCTCTTTTGAAAACAAATGCGCACAAACTCTGTAGCTGACTTAATCCATCATAAGTGAGCAGCAAAGGGTACAAATTAATTTGATTTGTAGTTCAAATTTAAAGGAAAGTAAATGGCAGAATGGGGGCCAATGGGACGGTGTTTCACTTACCTGTTATTGATAGAACTTCAGATTTTTTTTTTAAACAAAATTTAAAAATCTGACTTAATTTTAGTCATATCTAGCATGTTTACTCTGGGCTTATCATTTTATCTTGGCTGCAGTTGCACTGGGTAGTTTCATATCTGTCTAATAACAGTTTCTCTCTCATATCTGGTTATAATGAAGCCTATTTTTCCTCTCATTGAAACATTTCATTTAATCTCAAATTTTCTATAAAACTTTTCAAAACATAAATTTGAGGCCTAAACTCCTCGAGCATCCTTTTTAAATTATGCTGTCCTGTGCACAGTGAGAAGGATTGTGAGTAACTACAGGGCATGTCTTTTTTTTTTTTAAGCTTTGTTCCATGTACATATGTAAATGTATATTTTTTAACCCTTACATATCTTGGAAATCTGGGCAAAGTATCTTAGTGTAAAATCTTTTGGAAGCAGCATGCAGGGTGTTAAGTGGATTTAACACGGAGAATAAAAAAAGTGATAGTTAATATCTATCCAGTAAGGGAGCTACTTGGGAACTAAATTTGTTTTAATAGACATGTCTCATGCAAACCTTACCATAGGGTTGGCCAAGCTACAACTCGATGAGTTCTGTGACATAGCCACCTGCTCATTTCAAGATGGATCATTGCATGCTGGGATTTACAATCTCTGCAAATCTTGCCTTCATAATAAAGGTGAAGATGTGATCTCTGTTCTGCTTAAGCAAATGAGATGCATCCAACCATGAGGTGCTCAGAGATTTGCATATGCTTCAGTAATACACTGATTTCCTCTTTTGTCTTGCCACAGTATGATCTTGGCTTTGATAAATGACTGAAGTTGAAAAGGAACTGGTTAGTTGCCAAATTCTGAACCATCCGACTCACTCCAGTGAACAGTTGTGGAGCCAGAGACACTTTCGAACATACCTGGACTGGTGTCGTCATGCAGTATATTTTTTCGTCTTTGAATAAGAAATATTTTTGCTGTATTTTTAACATAAAATATTTTAAAAACTGACAGTTTTTGTAGCAATTTGATTGTGTGGTATGAAAGGAACAAACAGTTATTAGATCTTGTTAGATTCAATTTTTATATGGAACTGATCTTGTAGCACAGCACCTTGCACTCTACAGAAAAGACAGCCTGGCTTAACAGGTCTCTGCTCAGGCCTATACCAGTGGAAGGTCCACATCCAAATTTAAGTGCAGGTTTAATACATCTGCTCATTCATAAAGGCCTTTTGTAAGTGCCTCTGACTGTCGAGTTGTCTGAAGATCTATTTTGGAGCCCTGTAGTGGACAGTGCACGCTACAGGCTGGAGCTCCAGAGCAGCTTGTACCCACATGGATCTTTTATCTGCTTAGAGCTATTCCATGAAACAGCATTATGATGAAAGTAGCCTTTTAAAAAAAAAAAAAAAAAGACACTTCCATTATCTTATTTTCTGTATGGGGTAAGGCCCCAATAGCAAAAGCGATCCTGCTCTATGCTCTAGTGTAAACTTATCTGTCTCAACTTAAGAGAAACATGAATGATTCTTTTCCCTTACACTCTTGCTACATAATACATTAACCTACATATGGAGTCTCACTCGGGAGTAATCAACACATTGCAGCAAAGGACAGGAAGACTGGCAGAAGCTACAGTAAAGCTAAACGACCTCTCACTCTAGTTATCCAATAACTTACTGTTCCCATTTCAAGATGGGTGAATCAAAAAAACACTTATCAAAGAATAGTGTTCTGTATCAACATACTTTTGTCAGATACCTCCATGATGGTCAACTCTAACGTTCTCTTCGACTGCTCTCCCCATGCCACATTCACATCACATAGCTGAGCCTAAACTCATTTTTAGGGATTTTTATTTTCCGGTCAGTGTGTTTACTCTTTTTGATGATGCAAGCCACTTTTTCTAGATCAATCAGTCTATGTTTTTAAAATACAAAGTCTTAGCAAGACTCAGACAGGAAGGGATGAGAGATGCTATCCAAAAGAGCAATTGTATCCCTTCAATTTGATATGAAAAATTATAGTTGAAATTAAACTGATGCTAAAATAATTGCTGCAGATTCTTATTCTTTGAGGCCAGCACTGAAGACATTTTAGAGTTGGAGAAATCAAGCTTCAGTATCTTGCCTTTAGCTTTCTTGCTGGGATAGCCTTGGCCTTAGATTTGAGGACATTAAACGTGCCATGTTTGGACACCAGTTGTTCCAAAATTAAAACCAATTATGTTTATCAGACAAAACAGTTTGCATTGTTACCATGTTTACTTAAGTGCCAACAGTATGCTCAGCTCTGCACAAGATCCAAAATAGAGATGGTACCAGCCTTAAAGAGCTTAAATAATAGATCCTGCATAGAGAGGATGTGCTAGGAAGCCCAGAAAACAGGGGAGAGTAAGGTTTTGTTTTTTAATGAGTCCTCATGTTAATCCTGGAAGGAATAGGTAGTAGGGCAACAGTAAGAATACTATCTATCTCTCTACTGCTGCCTAGCTTACCATATGTGCAAAGGCAAACTGGACCTGTGCTGCAGCTCCATGTACTTTGTACACTCACTTGGAGATGCTACAATTGAATGTTCCTTAAGAATGCTTCCATAATCTACAGTAGCAGTGAAGAAGCTAAGTAGGATGCCCATCATGCTCTATGCATTGTCAGATCCAGTCTGCAATGCCATCTGCTATCATGCAAATATGCACCTAACTAAGGAAAGGGTGGGTTGTCAATAGCTATAGAAAAATAGGATGCAGAAAGCTTAACGCTGCTACCAACTCCTGAATTAGTACAAATAGTTCTAACCTCTCCCAGCACTTGTGCCTTGTGAGTACCTGCCTGAAAAGCCATGGCTTCTAACTGGCAGACAAAAGGCCAGCTAACACACTCCCCTGTAACTGTACACCACCTTCCCCACTGTTAATCAGTACAGTCATTTGATGGATGTCTTATTCTGTTGGAAATGTACTCTTGGTGTTAGTATGCCATTAGTTCCTAGTTGAACTACCTTTTGTAGTTCTCCTTACACAAGGTTCATTACTGTTCACTAACTTTAGAAGTCTCATAGAGGAGCGGTGACCTCTGCTCTTTCACATTAAAGATCCAGTAGTAGTGTCGTTTAAGGCAGGAAGACTAAAATAGTTGCTCAGTGGAATAGAGGTTGGAAAAAAAGCATCTCTCTGTAAAATGGCATAGTAAAAGCAGCCTCCTGTCCAGTGTAGCTTTTTGTAAGGAGGCAGGGTCAAATTTTCTATTTGTCTTATAGCTAGAAAGGATTATGAGCATAGATGATACAGTAGGGTTCTGTGCTGTTTGAGCGTATTATGACACAGCCTTGCTCCTAGGAATGTGCTGGAGATGGAAGGCTCCCTCCATGGCTAGACCAGTGAGTATACATACTAACATTCATACTTCAATCTAGGTAACTAAATCAGGAGCCAAACAGTAGTTCGGGAGCAGAAACAATGCAAATGGCATCTTTTAAGGTATGCTCTTCCCTGCCCCCAAGAGCTATGCTGAAAAGAACAAGTGTTTTGAAATTTTCTGCAGCTCAACTGAAAACCTGTCTTAAAAGATTGGATAAGTAGAGGAAGATGAGTATACAAAGCAAAGTGAACATGGTAGTGTTAATACTAATATCTAATGCTTTTTGTCTATAGGTCTCAAAAGTGCTTTACTAAGTGGTATAAGTACTATCCCCATTTTACAGATGGGAAATGGGAGGTGCAGAGAGGATAAAAGTGAGAGTTGATTACAACTTGGGTTTCTGACTCCATGCTCTTAACTACAGGCTTCCTCTATCTCGTGGATACACAGATTTTTTGGGGGGGCCAAAGTGCTCACTCAGGCTTGCATTCAGGATAGAAGTAACTTTATCACCTCTTCTCTTGGAAATCCTCTTGGTGCATTCCACTAGCTTCAGGGAACCAAGTAGTATCTATTCATACAAGTTTGCATTGCACCTTTTGGTGTTTGGGATGTCACAAAATAACACATGTTGAGATAACTTCAGTACCCAGGCAGTAACAAGTGTAACATTTGAAATTCATAGCCTATTTCTGTGCTGAATGGATGCTCCCTACTGTATTATCCTACACTTCTTACCATATTTCCCTGAAACAATGATGTGGGAAGACTTCAGCAATTCACCTCTTCTCCAGTCCCTTTAACTGCTACCATATCTAAGGTGTTTTCTCAATATGAAGGTCAACAGTCTAAAGATATTCTGTTAGAGCTCTTAAAATAACTGCAATATGGTGGATGGTCCAAAGGGTGGTAGAAAATGCTGACAGCTCACCTATAGCAACACTCTGACCACTGACACACAGGAGATTTGTTTGAAATTGCCAGTAGAGACAAGGCCAGGCCTGTGTGAGTGGTAAATAAACCATTGTACTTGAGGGCTACAGGGGGAAAATGTGTGGTGCTTACAAAGGAAAGGTTGCTGTAGCTGGACATGTGGCTCAATTTATATGTATGTACACCAGTTAAATGCCCATTGTGAAGTCATTTAACATAATTCCAGGCAGGAGGCAAGGAACAACCAAGGTGAGTACCAAGGGTGAGAACCCTAACCACCTTGCCATCTGAAAAAAGTGCTACTAGAAGACTAAAGCTGCCTCCTTTTAAAAATAAATCTTTCCAAATCTCATTATGTACATATCACCACTTACAGAAAACTATCTTGAAAAGGAAGCCTAATGTCCCCCTGGCAAGGTTATCAGACGTAAGCTCGTGTGGCTTGAGCTAATGCACTACAAGTAGTAGCACAGAGACTGTGGCTTGGGCTTTCAAGCTGTAGGCTGAAAGTACCCACAGCAGATTGTATTCAGGACTGTAGTAACTTTAATATGGCATCCTTGTGGCACATTCTGCTATTGTCAGGGAAACAAGCACTCTCCATTACTGGGGGTTTGAGAGTCTGAGCTGCAACATCCATGCTATTTTTAGTGCACTAGGTTGATATCTGTTAGCATGAGTCTGTAACAAGGGGTGAAGATCTGGGGGTGGGGTGGTGGTAGAGTAGAAACATACCCTTAATGATTTCAGTAGGGTGCTGATTCAGTCCTAAAAAAAGCCATCTTGAAAAGACAACTACTAAGGAATGGTTTTCCAGATAGCTGCTGCATTTCTCCCTCTTGTCACAGACTCACTGCTCAGGGCAGTGACTGTTGGTTCAGACTGATTTGAATATATGGGGCAAGTAAATGGTGAAGAGCAGACAAACACTTCATCTTTATAGATTGCTTAAAATTTAGGGGTTTTGTACTTGCTCTTTGGCAATACAGATTTCAGACCTTGCTGTAAAACTAATGGTTGGTTTAATGCCATGACATTCAGTAGGCTTAGGGTGACTAAGAGGGGAGAGGGCAGAAAGAAAGGGAAGTCTTGCCTTCTGTCACATGATAGCTACTAAGTTATTAAATGGCATTTCATAATAGAAATGACACTAGCCTCAATGTATAATTACACTGCAGAAGCTAAGAAAATTTCAGCTAGTGCTACCACCTTGAAAGAAGAGAAATAATGAGAACCTATATTAATACATACATAGACTATTTGAATGGTTTCTATTGACTTTTAGAGTGGTGATGGTCAGAATTCACTTTGAAGAGTGGGCAGGGTAGACCCAGTGCAGCCTAAGCTTGGATGCTGGTGCTGTTAAACTAAGAAGATTCCCTTCCTGATGTCTGTAGAGATATATCTTTGTTGGTAACATCTACTGTGGAATGGAAAAACTACTCAAAAGCCATCTGTTCTTCTACCCTCCCTGCCCCACACAAGTATCTTAATATGACTGACTCCAATCTCTCCCCTGATAAGCAGCTGTATGGCCAAACAAGCACTTTAAGGAACTATACTTGAGTGACTAAAGCAATTTTCTAATTACAGTATCAAACTACTCAGATATGAACATAACTTTACTTTCAAAAACAAACAGGCTAGAGCTAATAATCTGTCTCTATATTATATACATTGGCTCAACGGTTGAAATGGGCACATGCTGGGCTAACACTAACCAAGGTGCAGGCTTTCACTACAGCAGCAGTTTCTCAAACTTTCAGAATCTGAATAATATGGATTGTGTTGTAGGACCTCCCCCACATAGCATAGGTCACTTCCCCTCTTAGTCATGAGCTTATCACATACCTGTGGTAGCTGTAAGAAGTGCTAACAATACAATTCATTAGCTGGACATGAGTGCCAACATCCTACAGAACCATTGCACAGTCTGAGGACTTAGAGGAAAATATATAGTTATCAGAAGACACTGAGCACAAATAGCCTGAGAGGAATGCATAGTAGAGTCTTCATACTTCCAGCTAGCAATTAAGCTAGTCTGGATTTCATTCTACCTTACTACAGAAGTCAGTAGAATGATTCAGATTTTAGTGTTTAGAATCTATCACTAGAATTTACGGGTGGGAGAAAGATGTATTCTAGATGATCAATAGGAGGGAGCGTACTCCTTTGTGAACAAAAGTGTTTTAGCATCACTTTACAAGAGAGGGCCTTAGTCCTTTACAGAAAGCCCTTAAAAGCTTGCTAATAGTATGTCAGCCTTGGGCTTTAACTTTTTCATGTCTTTGCAACACTGGTACAGTTTTATACTAATTGTTTATATTATAGTAGGACCTAGGAGCTATTGCACCAGAGACGGTGCCAACACTTTAAAAAATGGTCCCAGCATCCTAAAAAGTTTACAATTTAAGTATATAACAAGAGGCAACACGTAGAGACAGCCAGGAAGAGCACAAGGAAACATTGTGACAGTCAGTCTGATAGCCAGTGAATTCAGGGCAGCAGCTGCCTCTGTTGTCAAGATTGTTGTAGGGGTTATGGCCAAGAAGAGATTTAAGAACGAACTGAAAGGTCAAGGATGTGGCTTTGCAGAGGATTACAAAGCCTCTCCTCTAAATTTGTAAGGAGCTCCATAGCAGAAAGCAAGGAAGCTGCTTATTTGAAAATTTAACGTTTAGATGGTGGAGACTGGCATCAACATCACGGTATCAGGTAAGAGAACAGAGAGCAGGGGAAGTGAACGCATGTGGTTTATGCAATAAAAGGGGAAGCTAGTAGGAGGAATCTCCTTTAGGTCAACACTGTAGTTTCAATGCTAGCCTCAAGCAGGATCTGACTTAAGGTGGTTGGGAAATACCTACCCCAAAAAAAGTAGTTTAATACCGCTGCACAGCATTACCTGGGAGGTCCAATGTAGCAGCACCCTACCGTACTAGGTGCTGTATAAAAAAATAAGACAATCCCTACCCTATTGCATTTACTATCTAGATTATTGCCCTCTCATATGAATGGGAAGGATTAGTCAGTCAGTGCTTGTACTGTGTTTTGAAAGTGCATACATTAATAGGATGTAGATAAACACAGACTAAGTGCTGTAAGTGTCAAGTATTACAAAACAGCTAGTGTAGGTTAAACCTGAACAAGCAAAGCCTAGGAGTCTACACATAGATATTTTGAGCCAAGTTAGAAAGGGTCAGCTTCATTTAAGTTAGATTCAAATACATATTTGGGAAAATATTCACTAAAAATGCTAAAATATTGAAAGTTCTATTTTGTCAAATCTGAGGTGTAATGGACAGCCAATTGACAGCCATGTAACTGAAGGTTAGGAGTGTTAAGAACTATTCAGTCCAGTTATTCATTCTGTTTATTGAACTGAAGAAAGGGAATACAAACATTTCTGTTAAGTGCTGTGCACTGACATGGAAAAAGTGTTTTTTTTAAAAAACCCTAATAAAAACAAATCAGAAGTTATGTAGTTCCAATTGAACAATTTTCTTTTTAAAGATGTTTAAAATACTACACATTTATAAAATAAAAAAGTTAACAAAGGGTGTTCTGTAAATAATTAGTAAAACAAGTGAAAAATAAATATGAGACCCAACATTCTTATATTTTAATGTAATAATATAGCAAAGAAATTTAAACTACTAAATATAATCCAAGAGGACAGTAACAAAAAATCCAGAAAGTTTAAGAACGCAATCCTTTGAAACATTTAATATCAGTCCATAGCAAATAGTCATTACATACCAAAAGCTCTAAGTGTTAACTAGTTCCACCACAACTCCATATAAATCTTGACAATTTAGAAATCTTGAGATCAACAGTAAAGTTCTTTTCTTGATCTCTACAGCTTGGTTTGTAAGTACATACATGCTTTGATGATCCATTTTGTCCCATACATTTTCAAGGAGCCAATAACTTTTTTCCATCTGTGCCTAAAAATGTTAAGATTCAAATCTAACACATTTCCCTAACAAGGAAAAATGTTTAAGTGAAAGATGGGGCACACTGAATTTCAAATTTATAAAAATATACCGATATTAACTGATGCCTGTAGTCAGAGGACATTTCACATACACACAACATGACTTAAAGTATGCAGTAAAACATGACCAGTACCTAGAACACTTGGTTCCATGTCTATGTAATACACACACACACACTCACACTCTCTCTCTCATATATACCAAATAGGAAAACGTTCACACTTAGCTGTTTTACTGAACCCAGGTAATCTGGTTTAGCAGACAGGAAATGGGTTTATAGTTTGTGTTTCAGCAACAAGAGGCAGCTACTGCAGCAATTCAACACTGCACAATTCAATGAAGTCCACCCTGTTTTAAAAAGAAAAAAGTGTACAAGAGTTAATGAAGTTTTGCTAATTGTCTTTAAAATTAGCAGTTCTTCCTAAATCAAGTATGGTAGCTGAAAATGGACACGAACCAATGTGTATTTTTTTAAAGCCATATATAGGATTGGTGCTCCTCGTTCTAGGAGTTGCAAATAAATTAAATTGAGACAACTTATTGTTTTAGGGATATGGATTTGAAAAAGAGTCTACTGAAAGTTTGTCTTCTCTCCTCTCTGGTTGTCCCTCACATCAGCCAACAAATTTGGCTGTAAACTAGACCTGTATGTTGATTTCCCTATACTCAACATAGACTGATTGTGTCAGTTCTACTTTCTAGGAAGCAATATCCTAATAAAGAAACCTTCAAACTTTTGTTTGAATTGGGAGCATTATTTATTGGTGCAGCGAGATGCCACTAGACACAAATACTGCCAATAGTGAATTGATTGCATTAGACGTTAATTGCTTGAAACCAGGATGACAAGTTATTGGCAAGAGTTGGATAGTTTTCCAGCTTGCATCTTTGCACTAGTTTTAAAATTATTAGGGTTACTTCTTTTACATTTGAAGAACCTGTACTAAAAGAGTGAGGGAATTGGACATAAAAGTTTTTCAGAACAGAGATTTGTAACAGCAGCTTATTTCCCCCTTTGCGTTCCATCATCTCTCTCAAAAAACTACTTACCTGAACAGCACAGGCACATTCAGATAAATGGTTAAGCATAATTCAGGAAAGATTTACATTGCTGATAATGAGTAGCTATTGTGAATATTTTAATCAACAGCTACAAAAAAAAATGCAAAAAACCAAGCTTACAGTATGTTCCCCCAGAAGTATAGCATCAGTTACTAGATATAACTGATTGTTGGGGAGAAATAGGACTCTTATTTGCTCCAACCCTTAGATCCCAGCCTAGGAACATTTTTAAGCACATGGAAATGAACACATTGCAGATGAGTCTACTGCATTTGCTTTTTCCATAGCCAAAGTCTTATTTTTGGTCTATGGGCAAAAAGTATTGGTACTTTTCAAACCACACATTATGACTATGTGGTAGCATGTTAAGAATAGTTTAGGCTGCTCTTTTTAGTCTAGAGTCTAGAACAGTAGCCAGTCATCATTCACAGCCTATAGGCCTACAGGTAATCTTGCTGTCAGACTAAGTACCATAAAGCCACAGTCTCACCTTTCTATCAGTATCTGCATATCACGTGTAAGACGCAGGCACAATGTATATAGCAAACTTGGTAAGACAGACTTCTAGAAATGAACCACACCATCTAGCTGGTACAGAAGCCTTCCCATCTATATTGCATAGTTGAGTTACGTAACTAAATTTAAATGGCAATCTCAAAATGTGCTTCTCACTAACCCCATTTCAAAGTGTTCACCATGTATACATTAGGAGTAGACTCTAAAGTCCAGAAGCTTGCCCGGGGGGGGGGGAGGAGGAAGAGAAGAAATAAGTATTTTGGCAAGAGAATTAAAGTTTAATATTCTTTGTCACAATTCTCAATGAAAAAGAAGGTACTGACTCAAGTGTGCTGTACTGTAGCTTACACTAGATATGGAGTCCCTGCTAATAGTTTTAGCTATAGGCGCTATGCTGAAAATCCTGTGAAGTGACTAAGCACAAATCAATCTTCTGGATTTATATTAGGGGCTTGATCCCACATTCCTTACACACACACACACAAAATTCCCAGTGAAGTCAGTGTTAGTTTTTGGGTGAACAAAGAACGAGAGAATGGGCTCCACGTCATCTAAAAGTATAAAGGGTTAAAAAAAAAAAACCACCCTTCAGTGACTGCATTACATGCTCTTGGTGGAGAAGAGATTTTTATTTAGGTTTAAAGGAGACAGTAATGCTCTAAAAATGCTTAAAATGCCAAATTAATAGAATATATGTGAAGCCTGGAAAGTATAAATAGCAGCACAATTGCTGTTATCAATTGTACGCTAATTTGAAGATGTAAAGCACTGTAAAAAATGCAGGTATTTGACTTTTATTTAAACCAAAATGGTTAGCTTGCCAAGACTGAGCTCAGTGTTCTTTGCTTCTCCTGAAACCTGTACGAGTATCACTGACACCACAGAACCAAGACGATCATCTTAATGCTGTGACATGCCATCAACGGTGGCAGGAGAAACAGAATGTTGATCTCCAGAATTAGCAGGTCAAGAGAAGAGAACTAATTTTCCATTTTTTGGTTTAAAGTTTGTTTGTAATCCAAGTCTACACAGATATTGAATTCTAATATTAAACACGATTTTATATTTGTTTAAAAAGCATTTCAGCTGAATTTTAAAGTCATTTTAGGAAGCTGAAGACAAATGAACGAGATTGAAGGTACTGAAATTCAGTTCTTATTTCAGATGGGAAAATATCAAAATATAGGATGAGGTCAAATTAAGGATTGGTCTCAGCAAAAAGTGTGTATAATTTTTTAAGTGTTTAAGATTACATGCGAGAGTCAAAGAACCTAATGGCCATAGTCTGTTAGAATCTCTCTTGTATTATATGCCTTGGGAGCATCCATTTGGGTCCTGGCCCCACCCTTTAAAAAAAAAAAAAAAGGGTCTTATGACTGTGTTATTTCCTCCATTCCCATTACCCAACCACAAGTCTGTTTTTTCTTCCCATGGACAGTTATCCCTTCTCCCAGAGTTATCCCTTCAACCAACCAAGGAGGACACTAGAGTACTTACTTAGTCCCAGTAGGAGACTCAGCCACCCTTTTGTTCACATCTTTCATGATGGCCTGCCTTCTTCCCTGCTCCCTCTTTACTTCATGGCAGCCCTGATACTACCTTCACCATCCAGTTGAGAAGAGGGAATTTAACACCATTCCATAATCAATTGCCGAGTAGTGCAGAAGCACACTAGAGATACCAGGCCACCTGTTTATTTTGAGAAGCATACAGTACTCAAACTGTCTTTTTAATAAGAAATTAAGGAACCATTCCTAAAAATGTCAGGCTATTCACAGCACCAGCACAGAACAAGGTCCAGCAGACACATTTAAACCTGTAAACTTCAAAATACCTCAAAAAACAAAAATCTATGCATCTTTGTTAGTCAAATACTAAGGAAAATGCTGCAGTTGTATTTAAGTTAGGGGAAAAATTATACAAATTGTCAATATGGATTGTAATTTGGATGATAAAGGTACTTTTAAAATTACAAAGCAAAACAACATTATCCTTGTTTCAGGTCCTTCCTAAGCTTTTATCAGAATTGTTGCACAAGTTAAGACAAAACTTGTTGCATGTATTTATGTAATCTAAAAACTGACCTTTGTCCTGTTTATTAAACTACTAGTCTCATGGTGCATTTTGATAGCTCTCACTTCTAAATAATTCTGTTTCTTCATTAAGATGGGAAATGAGGTTTCTTTTAAAAGAATACTTTACGTAGCCTGTGTAAAACTCCTTCCAGCCACTGCTTTTGACCATGTCTTGCATGATACTCTAAAAGAGCATCAGTTATACTGCATTTCATGACACTGTTTTTTAAGCTGGTTTAAATTCCAAATGTATACAAATGAAGTCACTTTAATCCTATAAATAATTTATTTTTTTTTAAAAAAATTGTGCTGTTAACCCCTTTACAGGGCAACGAGCTATGTGAAAAGTACAAAACTTTTTGTCAAGTGTGATATTGAGAGTGCTTTTGACATAGTTCACTGGTTTATCATCTGGATTGATATATACTGCGCAACGGGCAAGGCTAGAGTCCATGAACCAAGCTGCAAAGATCTCAAGCTAAATAAGGCGGAGAGAGATTTAGAGAAACAAGAGAAGGAAATACTTTCCTATCCAATGTATACTCTTCAGACTAAAGCACTCTTTCTATCAAGCCTTCTAAACTGTTAAATAAAGTTTTCCAAACAAGCATTTAAACTTCATTACACAGAAGAGCAACAAGAACGGTAGCCCGCCAGACAAAAAGGCAGGAGGGAAAAAATATATATACTGAGTTCAATGGTTAGCCTGAATGTAGCACAGTTCTTCACAACCGATGGGGGGGGGGGTAATTCGACACGGCGTCCAACATCGTTCTGACGACGTGCTTCATCTCAACTGGTTACTATGAAGCAAGGTGGTAAATGTTTGGCCCCGATCGGGCTTCAGAAATGGTTCTTTTTTCATGACGAGCATGTCTGTCCAGCTATCAATCATGTTGTTTGCACCAAATCCCAAGCCATTTAAAATACGACTAATTTTAAGTTAAAGAGAAGTCGTCTGCTCCAAATTCGCCATCAACTATCCATGCTACTGCATTCCTCTGAGCAAAGACAAGATGAAAGGTAAAAAAGATTAAACTTGGATAAGAAATTTTTTCAAGGTGTAACAACCTCCATTACAAGATATATAATTATAACTTACTTATATACATGTAACATACACACAAATTTAACACGCTTCAGAGTAATCATGTGCTATGGATTTTATCCTCCTCACTGAAGGGGAGCTACTCTTTTGCATTCTATTAATGTATGTAACCAATAATCTTTTCGCTTTAACAAAAAGTAGCGCGCTCTGACTTCCAAATATCCTCTCCTCTCTTTCAGGAGATTAATACACAGTATTTGGAGAGGTTTTTTTTGTTACTCAACACACACTACTTAAAACAAAAACAAACAAAAATTAGTGACACACTAAAAATAAGCAATGGAGTGGACACTGATTTAGAACGGACATGATTTTTTTCCTACTGGAATCTCTTACTTACTCTGACAATTTTTAGATATAGATCTATACTGGGAAAGGGTCACTACGGAGACAGCCCTGTTGGGCTTCAAAAGTTCCCAGAGAACATTAAGTGAAAACAATTACAAAAACTGTTTGCTTATTTTCAGATTCCTGAAGTATCAGGACACTAATCCAACTATTCCACCTAGGTTATACACAGAGCACTATATAAAATAAATCCACATTGTTTTTACTTAAAGTTTACCCCCCTGCCCCACTTTTCCTGTTACTCATGTTATACAAGCATTTGCTTTCCTGTGGGAGGCAGATCTTAAATTTTAGATTAGCATACAGGTGGTAGAAATGTGAAGGGAAAGGAATGAGGAGAACGTGAGCTGGAAAGCATTTTGGGTTTGTTGGGACTGGTAATAGAATACAAAGTACAGGGCTGATTTAGTTTAAGTCATTACCACCAGACAGCTGTTCAGTGGCAAGTATTCATACAAGAGCTACCATCAGCAGCCACCTTGTTAGCAATCTCAGTAGAAGGGCTAGGGACTGAATAGACATGGAAACTGAAATACCCTCATTGTAATACAGGGAATTTCCTCAATAGAACTGAGACAACAGTGGGTGGGAAAACTTGCAATTCTACTGCCCGTGCTGTACCAGTTCTCTGGGGAAGTGACTAGTCACCAGGGCTATCTAGTATCTTTCAGGGGCATTAAATTCACTTAAGGCTAAATAACCTCATTCTGTTTCCAGAGTGAGGTTAGTATTTGTTATTTAATATTTGCATAACAGTTTGTTATTCTACATGCAGTGAACACAGGCAATGTTAAGCCATCTTGAGGTATCTAGGGACATTATAATCCACTCTAGCTCCATGTTGGGGGTTTAAGTGGTTCCTGGATGCCTCTGATAGCATCACTTTCCAGCTGTATATGTTTGGGGGAATATGTAGACAGATTATTTTGTGGTCTGATGATTGAGGCCTTTTTCAGGAAACTCAATTTTGTTTGAGGGTTGTTTACTATATTATTTATATTCTTATTGTATGTTTTAATTATTGTCAAGAAATCCAAAGCAACTGGATGGATTATTTCAATTACAGAAGCTTTCTATTACAGTTTCTTTTTAAATATACATGGAAGTTGCTTTACCTTCAATATCCTGGTTGTCTATGAAAGGTGCTGGTCCCCATATTCTAACAGTGCCATCATCGGAGGCGCTGGCCATCATGGATGGAATCTGCGGGTTCCAGCTCACACAGTTAACTGTACGCGTGTGCCCTGTCAGCTCCGCAATTGGCAGTTCACTACGTTTGTGCCAAATATACACTTTGTGATCTAAAAGAAACATCGATTTGAAGCAGAAGCATGAGAAATATTGAATTAAAATGTTCTAAGCACATAAATCTCCTAATTTTTTCATATTAAAATTGCACTCTTCCAGAGACCTAAAAACATAGTATTGCAAAAAAAATTAAGTGTTGCAAATTCTAAAATTGAACCCCGCTAATGTGCAACAACACAACAAGATTTTGGTTTCACTAAAGTCTAAATCAAAGTCTAAAGAGAGGATCTAATCAAGAGTGTGGGCACAACGCAGACATGTCTTATTAAGACTTACAACGCTAGTGAGCTCATTATCTGAGGGAAAGCATTTAAGATGGCACTGAATCTTATACTGGTCAGCCAACGCATGGCCAGAAACACAAAATCAACCTCCTTCTAAGTTAAGGCTATGCTGTTGCAAGTGGATTCAAGCAAAATACTGCTGATCAATGAACAATGTCTTGATAGATATAAAAAATTATATACAAATTTATAGAGATTTTATATAATTTTTTATATTATATTATATACACACAGATTTATATGTATCTATATATGTTTTATATATAGATATATATATAAACACAATATTTAGAGGACAATCCATGTGTATTACATGGACCTTGTGTTAAGATGCAATATTTATGAGTAATAAATAAGGCTGCATTTAGAATAGTTAAAGCACAAGTCTTGGTACTGAGGCCTCCAAAAATTCTAACCAACTTGGTAAATGACCTAATGGGGTCATACACCTTTAAAATTTTGCTGTGCCTCTGTTTCCCTATGTGTAAAGTAGAAACAATTACTGACCAACCTCACAAGGTAAGGATTAATTAAATGTTTGTATGGCATTTTGAAGTTGTAAAGACCTACATACTACATAGATTTCAAATAGGATTCTAAAGAACCTATTTTTGTGAACAGTAGCAACTCCTATTTAAAAAAAATAGTAACTGGTCAAATAATCCATTGCAAATCTCTCAAATAAAAAAAACCCCACACTGCTTTATAATGAACTGCATTTTATTTAAGACCAACTAGTTAAAATGAGATATTTTCTCCTAATGTAGATTAACAGCTTCTGACAAACCTGTAGATTGACTTGTTACTAAAGGCTGCATCAGGTTCTCTCAAATGGAGCTACGTAAACTGAGCTACAACAAACTATCTACTCACATGTACGTACACTACTAGACTACCTTTTCAGAATTAAAGCTTTAAGGAACAGACTAAGACAACACTTTACACAATCCAATGTGATTCTGAAGGTTAAAAACAAAAACAAAAACACACCTTACCCTGGGCCCTTACAAAACAGGCTCAACTCTCTGACCTACCTGGTAGAATAGGATCTGGGAATCATTTGGTAAAGAAATTGCTTTCTGCTTAATCAGCTCATTATGGTATTTGCATGAAATACACACCTTGTGTTTACATTTTTCTATCCCCTGATTTCAGAGGATAGAGATAAGTATCCATTCTGTTATCAAATAAAACAAACAAAACCAGTGCTCTGTCTATTCTGGGCCATAAGCCCAGCATCTGCTGTGTGGAGAATCAAAGTGTAAACACAAGCCAGTATTTTGGTGCTTGACAGTGGATGTGTGTGTAAAAGGAAAAAGGACACACCAGGTAGATTAAGGCAGAAGTCAATTTTACTTTCAAAAGAGATTTCTTATTTTCTTCCTATAAGTGCAGGTGGTAGCAAAAAGCCTACCTAGCTGACAACATACCTTTACATTTAAGAGGTTATGGCATTCTAATCTGTTACTTTTTTTGTACAGAGAGACTTTCACAGCAGCCACATTTGCAACAATTCAGTGCAAAGAGGCAACAGCCTCTGGCAGTCCGAATCTAAATAAGGTGCCATCAGCTTCAACTACAGCTGGGTAGTTTTTAGACACTGAAAATAAAAAAAAATAAAAAAAGCTGTTCTTAAGATGACCTGGAAAAATTCATTACCACATTAATGTCACACACATAGTAGGTCATAAGTGAAGTGTCAATTAAAAAAAAAAAAAAAAAAAAGACTGGTGTACTGTAGCGTGTACACTCCCCCACACAAAGCATCAGTATGGCTAGGCACACAAGCCCTGAACTTTCAGGCACACAAGTACTAAACCCCACACTAGACTAGCTCAAAGATGAGGAGGATGACACTGCATTAGAGGTGCTATCTTTCAGCTGGTATCTTCCACTAGGTAATGACAGAGGAGAAACTTGGTTTAAAATGTAAAGATCTTTCTGCAGTTTCCACTAAAATAAAATATGTAAGAAAGTGTGTCATAGTCAACACCTCCTCTTTCTGAAGAGGCTCCACTTTGAGCTATTAAGTACAAACAGTGGCTACTCAGTTTACCTTTGTGCACTACAAATACTGGGCCTGAGCAGGGGTCAGCCCCCTCAAGTCCCATTGATCTCAAATGGGAGTTGAAGGAGCTAAGCCCCTCACAAGCCTGAACTAGTTCACTCGAAAGCAGTTTGGGACAGGCTCGGTAAACTAAATTCTATACTCACCATAGACTATTTTCAAGTACGAAAAACACAAATCTTAGTCACAAAAGAACAACCTTTGCTAGAGTTGCCATGTCATCAACTGCTGGATTTGAGACTTTGTTTTTCCTCCCATTATAATTAATTCCACTTGAGTTGAGATGACTGCTCTCCTGGAATTAAAATTATCTGACCACACCTGCCTTTGAAAAACTACCAATCAAATGAACTTAAGTTACTCACTACAGAACTATTTTGGCCAAAAGCACAACTGCTAATGTCATGCCTCTCAAAAAACCCAACATACCCGCACATAGTTAAAGCTTACTCAGTGCTATAAACCCATTATAGGAGAGAGACGGAAGAGGCAGAGCATACAGGCTATCCTTTCTGCTAGAGCAGGACTGTTCCTTACTGTATCTAACTTCAGCAGCACTGAGACATACTTTCGTTCACTCCTGTGGACAATAACTTTCTTTTACAGATGATCGTTGCCGGTAACAGTATTAACATTAATTAAAAATTCATTGCATCATCCCCTTTTATACCCAGTATGTGCTTGAAATGTACATCAACTGACATCTGAAGTCTTTAAAGCCGATGTTACCTTCACTGCCACTAGCGATGAAGTCTTCGTTATGGCCTCCAAAACACGAGTGAATTGTGTAAAACCCTTGCGTAACACCTTGATACTTTCTCACTAAAACTCTGTCTTGCAAGTCCCATAAGTGAACTCCCTGTGGGGGGCAAAGAGCATGCCGAAGGTTATTTTTATTGTAAGACAATATCCAGCACCTACCTTTGAAGTATTCCACTTTTATCATTTGTTCATTTTTGGCATGTCAACAAGCTTAGGCAATAAAACAAACTATAATGTGAAACTGAATGGATCTCATGCACTAGAACAATGGCTTAAATGCTTGTCCTGTCTCTTATTCTAGCACCCAATTCTCTAGTTTGGGGTTTCCAAAATACTTAAATTCGGAAGTCCATAAAGAAAAGTTATGTGGAACACCAATATTCCACGGATGATAACTCTAGAATATTGCTGCAACGTTGGGAAGCCAAACATAGTAAAATGAAGTGTTTAAATCTAGCAGCAGATATTTTGTAATTTACAGTCAAAATATTTCCCTTCATACTATGTTTTGTTAAGCCTTAAAAAAAAAAAAAAGAGATCTTCCCTTTTGGAGAATCCTACATTTGTTTATTTGTATATATGTACATACTGTGAACGTCATATGTTGTGTATGGAATACTGCTTTGTCTATTGTTTAATATCATTACAGATCCAAAATTCCCTCAGATTTTCTAAAAAAAATAAAATTAGCAGTGGTAAGAAAAAGTCTTATTTGTATTTTTAAATCTATCAACTTACCTGAGTTGCTACATTTAACAAAGCTAATCTGCCATTTTTTGAAATAGTAAATGACATAATAGGATGATCTTCTTGTACTCTGAAATCACAGGACAGACACCATAATGTTAGGAGCACTACTATTTGGACATTTTAAAAAAAAAAAGTAACACCAAGAAAGCACAAAAGTTTTCAGTTGCAATACTTCCATTCATACTTATAACTAAGTGGGCCATTAGTATTATATTTGAAAGGGGATTACAACCAGAACTGAGTTTAAGTCATCTAGTTCTATTTCAGTATTTGCTGGGTCCACAGAGAAAGTATACAATGTAGATAGATGTTCTGATACATTACACAGACTAACAGTTTTCTCAACAGGGGAATCGGACTAGATTTATGAGAGTTAAGAATTTGTAAGAAAAAAGGTAGTTACATGTTTCTGTCTGTAAGGTCCTCAAAGTTATAACCCCGAATTCGCTGGTGCGTGTCCGATGCCAGAACAGTCTTCCCGTCGCTCAAACACCAGAGGCATTGCACTCTCACCCCTTCCCAGGAGTCAAGGAGATTACCATCTAGATCCTGTTTAGGAAGGAAATATAACCAAGGTGTTCTTTTAAGTTAGATTTCTAAGCCCTGGTGTACACTATGAGTTTAGGTCGAATTTAGCAGTGTTAGATCGATTTAACCCTGCACCTATCCACACGATGAAGCCATTTTTGTCGACTTAAAGGGATCTTAAAATCAATTTCTGTACTCCTCCCGGACAAGGGGATTAGCACTGAAATTGACATCGCCGGCTTGAATCTGGGGTAGTGTGGACACAATTCGACAGTACTGGCCTCCGGGAGCTATCCCAGAGTGCTCCATTGTGACCGCTCTGGACAGCGCTTTCAACTCAGATGCACTAGCCAGGTACACAGGAAAAGCACTGGGAACTTTTGAATTTCATTTCCTGTTTGGTCAGCATGGCGAGCTCATCAGCACAGAGGACCATGCAGTCCCAGAACTGCAAAGAACTCCAGCATGGACTGAATGAGAGGTACTGGATCTGCTCGCTGTATGGATGAATCCTTGCTATCAGAACTCCGTTCCAAAAGACGAAATGCCAAAATATTTGAAAAAAAATCTCCAAGGGCATGATGCACAGAGCTATAAACAGGGACCTGCAGCAGTGCCGTGTGAAAATTAAGGAGCTCAGACAAGCCTACCAAAAAACCAAAGAGGCAGACGGCCGCTCCGGGTCAGAGCCCCAGACATGCCGCTTCTGTGATGAGCTGCATGCAATTCTAGGGGGTGCCCCTATCACTACCCCACCCATCTGTGGACACCTGCAAGGGGGGAGTCTCACGCAACTGGGATGAGGATTTTGGGGACAAGGAGGAGGAGGATAGTGCACAACAGGCAAGCAGAGAAACTGTTCTCCCTGTCAGCCAAGAACTGTTTATCACCCTGGAGCCAATACACTCCCAACCGGGCTCCCAGACCACGAAGCCAGAGAAGGCACCTCTGGTGAGTGTACCTTGGTAAATATAATACATGGTTTAAAAGCAAGTGTGTTTAAATGATTAATTTGCCCTGAAGACTTGGGATGCATTCGCAGCCAATACAGCTACTAGAAAAGTCCGTTAATGTGTCTGGGGATGGAGTGCAAATCCTCCAGGGACATTCAGAGGTGGCCGTTCCTGCTGGGCTGTTTGCCTGTGGCTGAAATCATCCCCACTTTTAGCCATTCGGGGGGGAGGGGGGGGAGAAGCATTGTTCACACTGAGCTGTTTGCGTTTGGCCAGCAAGGATCTTCCCTGATACTAGTCACGTAGTGGGAGGAGGAGTGAAGCCATCATCCCAGAGAATTCGGGGGAGGGGGATGTTAGTTGGGTTTGTGTTACCTGTTAACCTGAAAACCGCAGCCCCTCCTTTTAAATGGCCAACCCAACGGGTGCTTGGTATGGGAAAGGAGGGTGCTGCTGTTTGAAACCATTCCCACAAGGTATGAAGATTGAAGAAGCCGAAAGACTGTGGCTTACCATGGCTGCCTGCAAGCCGAATTCTGTTGCCTGGCCCTGCGTGTGTGATCTCTCACAGCAAAACGGCAGGCCCTCAATACAAGAGGCAAAATGCAACCTTGTACCGAAGGCACATGTGCTATGTAATGTTAACAGCTTGGTTCAAGGTGAACGTCTACCCATTGTTCTCTAAACTGTGTCTTTTTAAATACTACTCTCCCTTTTTTTCCTCCCGCAGCTGCAAATGTTTCAACGCTCCCCCCTATCAACTGTGGGATAGCTATCCCACAGTGCACCGCTCCGTAAGTCTATGCTAGCCACGGTAGTGAGAACGCACTCCGATGACTTAATGCGCTTAGTGTGGACATACACAATTGACTGTAGAGAGTTGATTTTTAGAAATCAACTTCTATAATATCGACCTAATTTCGCAGTGTAGACATACCCTTAGGAATTTTGATGAGAGGTTTTAGTAGGAGTAACTAAAAGAATGATGCACGAGAGAAGAGTTCTCTTGTCCCGTATCGGATAAAGTGTTGGTGATCATGAGAATTAGTATACCATTTGGAATCGCCTTCCATCTCCACCCTCAAACCAACACAGAGACAGGAGAATCCCCTGTCCCATTTCCTTTGAGGTTTGACATGGTCGAAATCTAAACTCCTGGCTCAAGTCAGCCAGTTATTCGAAGACCTCAACTCTTTCAACGCCATTGCTATACCCCCAGACAGCAAGAAATCGGACCCCCAATAGGATGGAACTCCATAGCATATCCATAGGACTGATTCCTCCCTCCCTTTTTAAATGTAAATAGTTAAAAAATGATAGCTTCGCACGCTAGAAATTTAAATAGTCAATATGAGTTCTATAGAAAGCTAGCTTCCTTGGCCTAAAGTGTTCACTAGTCAATGATTCCTGTGAACCAAAGTCAGAGAATGCTAAAGAAGTTGTTCAAATCAACTGAACTGACCCAGCATATTGAAGTTTGTTTCAGTAATACCAAAGAATGAAATGGTACCAAGAATGGTACCAAAGAATGAAAAAGTCTGTCAGGGCGTTAGTATACATGCTACTCTACCTCCAAACGTAGGAGGGCCAAAAGATTCCACGGGTAACTAAATTTATAACAAGTTAAATTATTTTTCATTACATGTTCTCTAGTGACTACCTCAACAGATAGAGAAAACAGACCCATTAACCATGTTACACCTGTTTTTACTAGAGTGGTCAAGCGATTAAAAAAATTAATCGTGATTAATCACAGTTTTAAGTGCACTATTAAACAATAATAGAATACCATTTATTTAAATATTTTAAAATATTTTCCATATATTAAATATAGGCTCAGGGCTTCAGCCCCCACTCCACTCCACAAGAGGCTACCTCCCCGCCCAGAGATATGCAATTAAAAAAAAAAAAGTTAAGTACTAATTTTGTTTTCAGGTAATCGCAGGCATTAACTGCAATTAATTGACAGCCCTGGTTTTTACTCCTAAGTACAATCTGCTGTTTTCAGCTGCAATGAAGCAAGTGTTCGGAGAGGACATGAACACACAGGTAGAACTTACACACTGATAGAACTGTCCACGTTGCCCTCCTGTTACAAAGCGTTTCCCATCTGGATTCCAAGCCACGCTGGTTAAACTGTCTTCATGAGATTGACTCATCTTTGTCCTCAGCTCCCCAGTCTGGAGAGGAAACAAAGAAAATCAACCACTACAAAGTCCAGTTTTGCCCACCCCTACAGACATATAATTAACAGATGTGCATGGAAACTTAACCTAGTGTTTCTAATTATGGACATTTCACTGCATTAATTGAATAAAAAGGTTAAAAAAATTTTTAAAAAAGGTTGCACACTATGAAAGTCTTCTAGGGAGCAACGAGGAGGTGGAGCTGGGGTCATTCTAATTTTCTTTCAGCATGGGAAACTGTCAGCCATGTTCTGACTCCAGCTGCTGCAATGAGCTCTGCCTCATTTTGCTTCCACTTCAGATCTGAAGCCAGGACAGGCAGTGAGTGTATTTAATGGATTTTGAGGGAAGAAGAAAGTGAAAGATCAATGAAGGAAGGGAAAAGATAAATGACAGGCACAGAAAGAGTGAAGAAAAGAGGAAACCAAAAGAATGCAGAGACAGTCCATTATTTTTTTACTAGAAAGCAGAGTACCAAAAATCTTAAGAATGTAAGAATGGTGATAGTGGGTCAAACCAGTGGTTTATCTAGCCCAGTATCCTGTCTTCCAACAGCAACCAGGGCCAGAGGCTTCAGAGGGAATGAACAGAACAGGGCAATTAAGTGATCCATCTCATTGTCCACTCCCAGCTTCTGGCAGTCAGATGGTTAAGGGACTCCCAGAACAAGGGGGTTGCATCCCTGACCACTTTGGCTAATAGCCATTGATGGACCTATCCTGCATTAACTTATCTCATTTTTTTAGCTCAGTTACGCTTTTGGCCGGGGGGGGGGGAAACCAGAACTGCACACAGTATTCAAGGTGTAGGTGTACCATGAATTTATATATTGGCATGTGTATGTGTGTATATATATTATTTACTGTGTTCTTATTTATTGCTTTCCTAATGGTTCCAAACATTCTATTAGGTTGACTGCCACTGCACATTGAGCGGATGTTTTCAGAGAACTGTCCACAGTGACTTAAAGATCTTTTTCTTGAGTGGTAACAGCTAATTTCGACCCTATCATTTTATAGGTATAGTTGCGATTATTTTTTCCAATATGCATTACTTTGCACTTAACACTGAATTTCATCTGCCACTTTGTTGCCCAGCCACCCAGTTTAGCAAGATCCCTTTGTAACTCTTCTCAAATAGTCCAAAGCTGCTTAAATTTTGTATCATCTGAAAATTTTGCAACCTCACTGTTCACCCCCTTTTCCAGATAATTTATGAACATGTTGAACAGCACAGGTCCCAGGACAGATCCATGGGGGATGCTCCTTATTTACCTCTCTCCATTGTGAAAACTGATCCTTTATTCCTATCTCAGCTAGCTACTGATCCATGAGAGGACCTTCTCTCTTTTCCCATGACTGCTTACTTTGCTTAACAGTCTTTGGTGCAGGATCTTGTCAAAGGCTTTCTGAAAGTACTCTATATCCACTAGATCACCCTTGTCCCCATGTTTGTTGACCACCTCAAAGAATTTTTAAAGATTTGAGAGGTATGATTTCTCTTTACAAAAGCCGTGTTTACTCCTGCCCAACACATCATGTTTATTGCCGTTTCTGATAATTCTGTTCATTACCATAATTTAAGAGCACCCTACCTGGTACTGAAGTTAGGCTTACTGGCCTGCAGTTGCCAGGATCACCTCTTAAAAACCGGCGTTACCTTAGCTATCCTCCAGTCATTTGGTACTGAGGCTGATTTAAGGTACAAGTTACATATCAATTAATAGTTCTGCAATTTCACATATGAGTTCCTTCAAAACTCTTGGCTGAATACCATCTGCCCCTGCTGACTCTTAATTTATCAATTTGTTCCAAAATCTCCTCTATTGACTCCTTAATCTGTGACAGTTCCTCAGATTTGTCACCTAAAAATAAATGGGTAGGGGGTGGGATTCTCTCTCACATCTTCTGCAGTGAAAACCAATGCAAAGAGTTCATTTAGCTTCTCTGCAATGGGTTGTCTTCCTTACAGTAGCTTACAGTTAACCAGTCTCTGGATATTGCATCTTAAACTCTCCATGCTAGGATGGACTTTTGTCCATGGATTGTAAAGTAGGAGTGTCACACTCATCTGAAAGGGCCAAATGCCATGTTTCACTGTGGTCTGAGATATAAGTCTACTGGGATATAAATTCTGAACTTCATACTCCCCTCAATCCTCATTGATCTCCCACTGGTATCACTGGGAGGTTTGACCAGAGTGAAATTTTATGAAGCGACTCTGCTGCCCTTTAGGCAACTACTTCTGCCTTTTGTTTCTCTCTCTTCTTTTCTCCCCTATATACACTTCCTTCCCTGAAACAACTCCCTGTTCTCTCAAGGGCTACACATCCATCCCCTAAAATGATCAGCAATGGAATATGTAACCTTGATACTGAAAGGTCTTTTAAGAGTCAACATTCCAACAGAGATTAATAAGGAACAGAGTTTACCTCTCAGTCACGGTTTCAGGCTGTCTGCAAACAGAATTATTGGTTTACACTGTTAACTTTATTTCAAATGTGATCTCTGCAGCCACAGGTGCTAGAAACCTTTTTATTTTAAATGACACCTTAGATTCTTCACAATCTGAACTTGTCCTTTAGGCCAGACACAGTCTGTATGGGCCACACGCTTCTTCTAAAGCCAAAAAGTAAATTACTCTCTCAACTGTCTCACACACTGAACAAAGAGACAGGACCAAATGCTCTTGGATCACACCTACAAGCATTTCAGCACTATGTGAATGGGTCAGACTCTACCACACTGGCCACTTGGATCACAAAATTAAAGAAACCACAAAACTTGGATTCCTGGCTACTTCCTCACCTCGGAGATAAGCCTTGTAAATGTCACTTGAACATTAGAAACATTACAACTCATCTTTGTAAAAACCATGGCACTAAAGGAATTCACTCCTTATAAATCCTCTTGAAGTGTATCATCCAGACTTCAAAAACACCACACAGTAACTTCTCTCTAGTGTGGATGATCACTTGGAATGGAAACATTACAGTCACCCCTTGGTATTCCAGAATTGAAAGGACAGAAGATCCATGAAGAGTAGACTCACTGACAAATTAGTTTCAGTTCTGTAAACATTTAGTATAGACATTTTATATTCTACCTAGATTTGGGAAAGATCTGGGTCTATTAGCAACATTTTTAATAAAATGAAAAACTGCAATGTTTCCATGTTCACCTATATAGAAACAAGCTTACTGAAGTGATTTCATCCTTACTGAACAGTTCCAGTGCATAACAAAGCCAACTGCTAGAGTTAAACATGAAATTTTATATTAATATTGGATTGCTTACTTGTACATTCCAGAGCCAAAGCTCAGAGCAGTCATCTGGGCCACAGGCAACAAGGTAGTTGTCATCTGGACTCCAAGCAATGTAAGAAACACCATATGCATGGCCTTCTAATGTTTTAAGCAATTTTAGCTGGTGTGTATCCTAAGTAAAACAAATACATATATATTAAAAAGACTAGTCAATATTTGACATTAGAATTTGGCTGAGGTTGTCTTGACAGCAGCTCAAATTGTTTAGTCCTGAGTTTCGACAGGATTTCTACCCAATTCAGGCCTGTATGATTTGGCCATTATCTTTTAAAAGCAAAACATTCTCTTTCGAGAATAAATCTCTATTTGTAAGTGAGCAGTTATTACCCTATAGAGTAGATCCATATACTCACAAAAAAGCCTTTCCAAGATCCCTAGCATACAAAGAGAAGTACTAGTAAGTATTCTGAGAATGTTATATTCTTCCTTTATTTTGTTGTGGAACTCATTGACAGAGTTCTGTGCAAAATACTACAATATGGCCCATACCTTAGATTATGCACAATACCTAGCAGTTATGCAATATTTAATTTTCAAAGCACTGTAGGAACTTTATGCAGTGGAACCAGTCTTTACACCCTTGTGAAGTAGGCAAGTATTGTTAACCAAGTTTTACAAGATGCTTAAATAAGACAGAAATTAGGTGCCTTGGATCAGGCAGTGAACATGACAGAATTAGGATTAGAATTTCAGAGTTCCTGGATCCTAGTGCCATAGTCAGCTACGACACTTCCAACTGCTAGTTTGAAAATAAAATATTCAATTGACCATAATAAGAATATTTTCCTCCAGTTCGTTGTAGTTTTAGGAATGTAAGAACCTCCCTTATTAAAGTGATATGTTTCAGGACTGACAGCCAATTATGAAGAAGTGCCTTTGTTTTAATTCTATTTAGTCATTAATACTGACTGTTTAGTTAATGCAGGAGGCATTCCTTTTGCCTACTGAATCACTTTAAAATGGTAGTAAAGTGTAAAATGCAAGATAGTGCTGAGCAATAAAAATGGTAGGACAGCTCATTAGAGTGAAGTCTTAAGATATTTATCAACTATTTGACATATTAAGGTGTTTATGGTATTCAACACCTTGTCAGTTGCTGGCTTGATCCAAACCCTGAAATGTTCCAGCTGAGTACTGGCCCATGACACTGTAGTCACACTAGTGTCAAGTCTCATGAGTCTGTCCCAAGTCTCATTAAAGATGCAGCATATAGTGATCACAGCTTATAACTGGTCAATCAGGGGAGCATTTATTAGGTATTTTTACTCTCCATTATTTGAAAACATTTTCTATTTGCCCACTATCCTTTGTGGCGTTTGTCTTTTCCCGTACTGAAAAGTCTCTTCATGGATTTGGAAAACAAAAACAAAAAAACCACCCAACTCCACTAAATCACCCCAGCACGTAAAGAGTGCAGAGTTAACCTTCTGAACCAATGCAGTACTGAGTCTGCACACAGATCCAGTTCCTTTGTCACTGTTCATTGCTGCTAGCCAAAGCTGAGGAAATGGGATTAGTTTAGTCATTTTCACTGCTCCAGATCAGAACCTTATGGGCAGAAGAGACCATTCTTGCCATTTTCACATTTTCCCAAGCACTCAGAATGAAAGCAAGGACTATTCTTGCCATTTTCCCTGCTGCCCATAAGGGTCCAAACTGCAGCAGTGAAACTGACTAGACTCATTAATTACCAACCCCTTGGGAAAACAAGGACAAGCACAAAGACAGGCACTGGAGGTATTTATGGAACCTGAAAACAGGCTAGAAAAGGAGATAGATTAGGATTATTTATTTGTGCTTACCTGAAAGTTTCCTTTCTTAAATAGCAAGGTCCATAGATCCTTAATGCAGAAGGCCCAATGCTTACTGCCTGAAGCAGACAGACCTCAGACACTGGCAGCAGCCTAAACTCCTTCCTCTGAAGTTGCTCTCCAGTTTAGGTTAAGATTTTTAGATTTAAATTTAAAACATATGCCTACTTCAGGAAACGAGTTTACAGTTTTTTAAATTTAAGTACATGAACACCTTCATATACCCCTTCGTTTGCCTCAGATGGGCTAGGTGTACAGACCTTGCTACTTCACACACACACCCCCGTTCAGACAGAGGAGTTTTCCTATTCTTTGGTGAAGCAAGGTCCACAAATCCTATAACAGAATTTTGAGCAGTGTAAGAGCTTTAAGAAAGGGAACAAAGATACTGAAATAAACAGATTCTCTCTTACAAAAAACTTGTCTGCAGTGAAACGTGCAGCATTCCCTCCTAAGACTGTACCCACTGAAGTTTAAGAACTATTTCGCAGAATTTAGTCAATGCATTGGTTAACAGCCATATGGTCACCTGAATGGCTTTTTGCATCAGGGCATTAAAATAAGGTTATATTTTATATAACCACAAAAATGCCTGGTCAACAAGGCTGTTCTAGAAATTGCTGGATGTCCAGGTGCACTGAGGTGTTTTTGTTGTTCGGCCAGTTTCTTAACCAAAGGATGCAAAATAATGCAGAAACTTTATCACTCCCAAAGCTATGCCTTCTTGGAGGATTTCTACTACTTGTGGAATCGTAGTATCAGTCTCTGTTCCAGTCTCTTTGCCAAATTGGAAGGAATTTGAAGCGGACATTCAGGGAAAGATATCCTCAGAGTAACTATGATTGTCAGAACAACTCACAACCAAAAAAACTCTCCCCAATTAATTCCTTTTAAATGCCAGGCAACCCATGGTGAAGCACTGCTACAATACAGTCCTTCTGCAGTGTAGAAAGAGGACAGGTCTCTTCTATCGTGCTGTTATTGTAAAATAAGTCCCCTTACGCAGTAATAATGGGGCCTCTCATTTTTCACTTCCAGATGGACCTGACTACAGTGAGAACAGTAGGAATGGTTAGAGCTACATGCGGGTTTTCAGCTGGACAGTGTCTCCATGGCAGCAACCTTCAAGTATCTTCTCCTGGACAAGAATGACTTTGCTGTGCCTCCTGGACGTGAAGAAGCTCATGGTTGGTAGTCCAAAAAGTTGTCACACACTAAAGGCAGGGGTGAAGGTCCCATTCCTGAAGTCAGGTCTCAGCTTTCTCTTGTCTATGAAAAATCCTAATATAGAAGGGACTGGCAAAGTAGTCTATTGCCCCATAAGAACAAGATATTTGCTTCTCTCTGATGGGCTGAAAATGAATTGCCAAGAATCAGGTCCCAGCTGCATTAGAAACCACATCTCCATCTACAAACTGCCAAGAGATCTGCACTCCTCTGCGACAATGTAGATAACAAAGTAGCCGAGTACCACTATCTAATGTTAAAGCTGAGGGGATCCAGCTCAAACGGAACAAGCTTTCACTTAAGATTAGACTAATAATGGATAAAGTCTAACCAACTTCATTTTACTCTTCAAGACCTCTTTTGAGGTTTTCCTGCTATAACCAGATGGACTTCAACAACTGCACCAATATCAAAACAAACACCCTGCCACACACTTTGCAATGTCTCAGAAAACTTACACCTAGGATCGCAGGGGTGAGTCACATGTGTCTAGGCACTTTTCCTTTTAGCCATCAGGGCCTTGAATCTTACCTTCAACTCCTCTGGCTTTTTTCTGTGATGGCGAGGAGAGGAAATGGAGTACAGCTTGTTGCATCCATTTTTTGCACATCCTCTTGTTCAGGGGATAGGCAATATCTCCCCTTTTGCTTGGGGCTCTTTGGACTCCTTGGGATATATACAGGAACTCTGGAATGCATTCTGAGACCTAGTGAGTTCTCCAACAATCCCTCCCTCTGTTTTAATTTTAGCCTTATTCAAGGCAGCTCTTTTTCACTTGGGATCTTGGAGAGAATTCCACTCCCCCCTGACAGAGAGAGGCAGTACCCCCAGTGAAGGAAGCGGAGGGGTGCTTGGGTGGCACAGGTAGGAAGGTTCCATGAGAACCAAGGTTCCACTGGTCAGAGAGCCTGAGAGGTACTTCCAGGGTTTAGATTGCCCTGTCCTTACCTTCAGGAGATGGAGAACAACCCAGGTATTCCTTATGTCCATGGTAGAAGACTCTTCAATTTATTATAGCTAAGTTAGGTTTTTCTATTATTTACTTATTATCAATATCTTTTACATCAACTTAAGTCAACTACTCAGAGTGACAGATACTACCAAACACAAAGATGCAGCTATGGTTCAGGATTTTGAACACTGCCCATGTTTTTGAACCATATTTGAATGAGTTATCAAATCCTCATTTATGTAAGGCAATACTCAGTTAAGATTTCAAACCATGGAAATAGCTGTCCTTAAAGGCTGCTATGGAAAGGTTCCTTCCCATCTTTGTTTTTGCCCATATAAATAGAGAGTGTTGGAAGATCCACGTCCTCTTATGGATTGTGGAATTTCCCAGCTTTTGAGTGCATGTTAGATTTTGCCTTTTGAGATGGTAATAAATACTTTATACAAAAGAGATAATGTTTTTAGTATTTTCTCAATCATCAGTAATTAAATCAGTGGCAGTTTTTGCCCTTCACACATTACGTTGAAGAAGTTCCGATTGACATTTTAATGCATTATATGGATGTTGCTGTTTTAAATGGAGTTTTTCTTTTTGTTTGCGCATATGTCATATGTGATTTAATAAAATTGAATTGACTCAAGCCATACCCTGGAAGTGAGCAGTCCCCAACCTTGGAGAATCTGCGATAAGACCGGATAGACAGGTGAGCTGGATTCTTGAGTGGAGATGTGCCCAAACAGAAAAACCCCTCAAAGCACACAGAAGAAGGCTAGATGAATGGCTGAGGGCAGGTCCTAAAGTCCCCCCTCACTGGTTTCACCTTGCTGTTCCCCATCTGCAAACAAACAACACGATCTCTCTGTGGCCACACTGGTCCTCAGTGACTGAGGACATAGGCTGAAGGCTCCAAGATACTGTCAGAAACTGTCTGCCCTCACCAGCTAGGGGAGGGCACGTCAGTCACCTGCCATTTCTCCTGCACCTCCTTCTGTGTCCACTGGGAGAGGGACGCCTAGGCAATCCCTTTGCTAGAGAGGCTGCAACCACCAAATCCTTCTCTTTGTCACACAAAAGACAAATCTGTCCACGCATTCGATGATGGGGGTAAGAGCAAGAAAAGCAAAGTTCTCCTTTCTTCATGTTTCACTGCCAAACCACTTGCTGTTCTGCTGCTGCAAGGGGAAAACGTGCTGCTGCAGTACCTCAGGCAGGAAAGATTCCCCCCTATAGCCAGTTATGTGCTCCCCATGCCCTCCAAAATCTTAGGTCTTTTTGCTCTGAAATCCAGTTGCTCCAGATTTTAGAAGTTTGCAACAGACCAGCAGAATTCGGTTATTAATCTAAACTTTGCAAGGAGAGGTCTGTTTTTCACCTGCCTGTAGTTGTGGAATCAGAAACTGGTGAACTAGTTAGGAGGCGGAGCCCATGTTACTCCCAGAGATTGAAAGGTCTGTTTCTACCTAAATGTTGAAAGTCCAACGGAGGATCGATCTATGGCCCTTGTCTTGTTGAAGAATAGCAGGCAACCTTTCTTCCATGAGACAGATCTCACCCCACTCCAACTGCAAGGAGGCGCTGAGGAAAGGGAAAGATCTAATCTTCCTTCCAACAAGGAAATTATAGGGGAGGTATAACAACAAATGTAAGTTTAACACACACCTCAAGGCCCTGCCCCTGCAGCTCCATTCCCCAAGCTTCTGCATTGGCTTCTGGTAAATATTTTTAAGTCTCTTTCTTTGTGCCTGGTGATCAGCTGTGGCAGCACAGCTACAAAACTAGCATGGATTTACTTCAATTTCAAAGCCAAAAACGCCACAAAAAGTGTTGAACAGGGTCAACATAATTATATTGTTTTTCACAACACTAAGCTGATATCCCCTTACAAAACAAACAGTTACAACATTTCCTACTATAAGAACTCACATTCTAAGACAGACAAGACAAGACAAAAGAGACATGGAACAATAGTTCAGGAAAAGGCGACCATGGCAGGAAACTTTCATTCTGCGTGTCTTTAAGGATGGATTTTGAGGAGAGGACACATGGTAGTTCTTCTAGATATAGCAAGTAGGCAAAACAGAAAGACCAAAGGTAGAGTAGAGTATCTTTCCCCATAAGTGGTCCCATTTAAGTCAAGATACTAACTGACGTGACAGAATCAGAGTAAGTGAGCAGTCTAGTAGGACTGAAAGTAGTGGAAGAAGGGCCAGAGAAAGTGAGAGCAAAAATATAGGGGCAGATAAGTTTGTAGAGCCTCTGGGTGAGGAGGCTGAAGCTGATGCAAGAGACCAGACTGAATTCAATGTGCGTGGGATAGTCAGAGTGACAGGAAAGAAAGAATTTCAGCAGCAGCATTTTCATTACACTGGACTTTCAGGGATGGGGATAAGTTTATTTTCAGGGCAAACATGAGGGTCTGAATACTCTTTGCTGAACTATTGATGGAACCCAAAAGGATTCAAATAGATTGAAAATCTGAAGAATGTTTCCCTATCAGCACATAGATAGGGAATAGAATAAGTTTGAGATAAAGTTTGACAGTCTCTCGAACCAGTTATTTTGTTTACATTCAACAATTACTTGAAACAATGGGAAGAGAAATAAATGAACTCCATATGCCCTGGTAACTATGAAACCAAATGACTGGTACGGCCTAATGCAATTTAAATCCATCTTCAATATGTCCTGTAACAAAAGTGTTCCCTTCAGCTTTACTCAGGAATGCATTTCAAATCTACTGATTGTTAACAGAGTTAATACAGTTTCTTGGAATTTCTCCAAATAACCACCATTAGAAAAGCTGTGTTTCACTAGTTTGTTCTTCTAGTGACCCTTGCTTGCTTAACATTTTGGCACAATTTCAAACACCTAAAGTGCATTTATTTTGGTATGATTAAATAGTATATAATTAATGATTCACTATGAAACTACTTGCTACTACTGGAGGTGCCATTTTGTACCACAGATCTGCCCTTAAAATCGCTTTCCTTAAATAAGCTAGAACTTTCAATCCATGTTACAAAAAAAAAAACAACTCTTTTCTAACAGCCTCCTGACATTTATAAACTATAGAGTGGTCTGGCTCCAATTAAAAATCATCTCTAGCACCAAGCCTTGAGAATCCTTAGCAGTAAGTTTTTCCAAGCTGTATGTACACACACAACTCGTCTGTTAACTATTTTCAAGATCCCCCACCGTTCCCCCAAAAGTAAAGAGTTCAACTGGTATAGTCCCTCCTAATTTTTTTTTGGGGGGGGGGGGGGGGGGGGGGGTTAAAAAGAGGAGACTTTCCTTCAACTCAGATCCTGCTGCAGGACGCAGGAGCAGCTTGCAAATTTATAACTGGGGTTTGAGTAATAACAACCCAGTATAATTTTTAAAGTCTTCTCAAAAGGTTTGAGTTACAACTCTAAGAAACCAGAATATTGTGTGTGCACATGCACGTTGATATGTATATACATATATCATATAGTACATTATGTATATGTATTTATGGCACATTTCCTAATATGTTTTCAATTAGTAACTGAACATAATTTCATCCAATTCATAATGCGGTTGAAACACCAACATATCACTAGGACCTGAATAATCTCAGAGTGACAGCTCAAGCATTTTATTTACAAGAAAATACAATACAGACAGGAAAGATACTGATATACAATAGCGAGGGTAAGGAGATTTGGCTGGTTTCTTGTAGCAGAAGAAAATAAGCAATATATAGTAACAATTTAAAACGTCAGGAGAACTTAGTCTTGAAGGAAAAAAATAAAAAAAACTGTACATCCTTTCTTGATGAGTTTTGCCAGGTTTTCATAGAACATCAATCAAGAAAAGTTCCTCAAGTTGTATGTACAATGGCAACTAGTAGATAGTTGATGAAACTTCTATATGGTCTGTGAACATTTTATCATTCAAAGATGGGGTGGCATGTTTAAATGGTGAACAGGACTTCTACTTAAAATAATTCAAATAATTAAAAGTAAAGAGGATTTAAAATAAAGGTCTTCACTGAAATAATACCAAAAACTTTAGGAAAGCCTTAGGCAAAAGCACAGTGAAAATTTAAGAAACACTGCATGATTTAGAAGAAATGCAGATAGTTTAGGTCTTTTTTATCTTTAAACACACACGTTAAAGTCTGAGCACTTACTGGATCAACCTGCCATATAATAACAGTTGTGTCCTTTGATCCCGTTGCTAGTTTAGTTCCATCATTGGAGAATTTACAGAACCATACTTCATTACAGTGCTCTGTAAGTATTTGCTGTGTGTAACATGGGAACTGTTTCCTGAAACAAAGCAAAAACAAAACCATAGGGTTTGTTAAACACAATCCGATAAACAATTGGTAAAAACTAATTATAAAAGTAAAGATTTCTGCAGTTAACATGTATGTTCAAAAAAAGACAGGATCGTCTTCAAAGCTCATTATGAAGATTAACTAGCCAGTATCAGTCTAGTTTGAGGGCCAATAGATATTGGTGATTTAAAAAAAAAAAAAAAAGTCATATTCATTAAAGAAACCCCCCTAAATGACCCAAAAACATTAAGATGTGAATATAGCCAATCTACTAAGTCACAAGATCTTACTGTTATCCTCAGACTTCCCTCTCCATTCCTTCCTATTGTTTGTTACACTCACTGTGTCTCAAATTAAAATTATAAGATCTTCAGGACACTAACTGGATCTTCCTAAAGTTTTTTAGGACATACAACAGTCAATGCACCAATCTGATTGGGCCTCTAGACACTAGTGTAATAAAAGTTAAGGTTAATAAATTAACAATTTACACAACTTTTCACTTTAGTTATTTCTGGCAACTCCACAGAAGTGATTAATTATGTGCTAAAAAGGAGTAATGGAAATACTAACTTTTACAAGATCATTTTCAAGAAATGAAACTCACAAGATTTTTAATATAGTGTTTATCACTGAGGTATTTTGTTACTCTGCAAGCTACATACAAACACTACCCCACTTCTGAGCAAACAAAAACAGAGCAGTAAGCTATTTCAATAGCAGCTAATCCCCCTCCCCCCAATTATGTGTCAAGGAAGATCCTACCATCAAAAAGTTAAATTCATGCAGAAAAATGGAGAGAAGTTCGGTTATGTTTGCAGCTCACCAACTGGCACTAACTACAAGTAGTTATACAGTGTTTGAAATCACCTGGCTGATTGTGTGTGTTATTTATGTCACTATAGCTTCCAGAGATGCCAATGTGCAAGACATTGTGCAAACACAAGACACTCTCTGCCCCATAGAGCTTACAAGTTAACAGGAGCAGGAGCCATTTTTTATGTATTTGTACAGTTCTTGGGACAAAGCAGTCCTGATCCATGACTAGGGAGTTACTGCAATAAATTAATACAATTTAGGTAAAACTAGTCATAAAACATTGTTACAAAATCTTACCTTACACTCAATACTGACAAATTCATGACACAAGTGACTGTCCTAAAATAAGTTCTCTCTCTTTATTCAATAATTTTTATTGGTAAGAGTCAGTGAGGTAATTAAGCCAATGCTGCAAAAAAGTACTACAAATTTGTTTAGTATGCCAAAGATGTGGATTCCTTTCAAGATACTCTCTGTGCATTCTTTAAGTAGCAAAACACTCTTGGTATTACACTACTCAGAGCAGCAAGCAATATCCTCCCAAAAATCAGAAAAACATAAGGCAGGAAAACACCACCCCACCTCCCCCCTTACAATTAGTTAGAACTGAAAAGAGTTGGAGGCATGCCTCCATAGTCTTGGCTTTGTGGTTTTTAAGAATGGTTAAACAGAAAATTAGCCTAATTCAATATGTTCTGAGGGGTTACACGGTATTTTCAAATGGCATTTCCCAGTACCGTAACTGTTTCTAGACAATCGAGAAGTTTGTGATCTTAGGACTGTGTAAACTGAATTTGAGACACGGTGGTTATAGGAAGACTTGTTTTAAAGCATAATTTGTTATTAATGTTTACTACTGCTCTGCCAGTTCTAATACTGTATTTCTAAAGCTGCTATCCCTTTTTTAAAAAAATGGGACTTGGTTAAAAAAAAATACACTAAATGGTTTTGTGCAAGAACATATAAATATCAACTTAATGAATGAAAGTCATGGTACACAAGCATCATTTATAGCAGCAGACCTGACCGTCACTGACAGATTCAAGGAGTCCATGCAACTAACTTACACTAATGCAAGGAAACAAGGAGAGAAAAGAGACGTTTTTCTCACTCAACTAACGAAGCAAGTTGCTCAGAAGTTGCACCTCACAGATAGTGATGTATGTATTAAACAGGTACTCAATCACTGTTCTTTTCAGAAGATGTAATCACCCAAGAATATCAAGTTCTGTTCCACAAGACAAGATGTTGGTTAAGAGGGATAGTAGTTTGAACAGGTTTTGTTTAGTTAACTGAGTACTCATGCTCAATCATACTTCTCATACTTGTATTACCTAGGGAGGTGGTAGAATCTCCTTCCTTAGAAGTTTTTAAGGTCAGGCTTGACAAAGCCCTGGCTGGGATGATTTAATTGGGGATTGGTCCTGCTTTGAGCAGGGGGTTGGACTAGATGACCTCCTGAGGTCCCTTCCAACCCTGATATTCTATGATTCTCTACATTTCTGCTTTCACAAAAGTCCTTTATTACTCATCTGCTCAGTATAGCGCACTTAAACTTTAGGTCTTGTCCATACTAAAAACTTAGGTCGATCCAGCTACATTGATTAGGGGGCGTGAAAAATCCACACCCCGAGTGATGAAGTCAAGCCTACCTAACGTGCCATGAAAAAAAAAAAAAAAAAGTTCTTCTGTCGACCTAGCTACTGCCTCTCGACCTAGCTACTGCCTCTTGGGGAGGTGGATTATCTGTGCCACTGTAGTGTTTCAAGTGTACACAAGCCCTTAATGCAGGGGTACTCTATTTTTTGTCAAGATCCAAATTTCTTGGTCAAGGTATAATCAAGGTCCAGACTCCAGAGAAAAAAAAAAAAGTTGGATTTTTTTTTTTTAAAATAAGTAAATAAAAAAATTTCAGGGTCCATTCAAAAGCATCCGTGGGCCAAATCCAGATCACCAGTCTACCTATTGACTACCCCTGCCTTAGTGTTTCCTTATGCTTTATTCCACCATGTCAACACCATGGTTCACCAGTTACTGAGTTTTCACAGGTTTAGAATTCTAAATTTAATCCTTTAAAAACAGACCAAAAGAACTAAATTAAAATTACCGGAATAATAATTTAACAAAAACGTGAAAGTGAATTTATTTCCAGCGTTTACAATGAAAACATTGATTAATCAAACAGACACCATCAAAACTGACAGTGTTGCTAATCCAATATCTGCAAGAGGAAATGTTCACTTTGCTCCCAAAACCTTCAGTGTTTTTTAAATAAAAGTCATCTTCCTATGCATAATCCTACAACTACAAACTGAAGTGGTAGGAGAGGAGAACCAGGTAAGTACGCAGACTCCACTTTCTAGTTCTCAAAAAGGGTTGGGGGAGTTAAAATTGGGTTGATTATAAAATAAAATGATGCAGGAAAGGGTCCCCCACCTGCCCACCATTAAATTCTCCATTGTCACAAGGCCAGTAATGTGAAAAAGCTTCACCCACCACTCTGAGCCCTCTCCATCATTCCACCTCCTGAGAAGCAGCAATCCTGTCTGTTTATCTCAGTATTGTATCTGTTAATGTGATATAAGCATGCCCGATTCCAATATTGTCAGAAATCCATACAGATTAACGCCATTAAAAATAAATAATAATAATAATAATAAATATGAAAGTGGAAGTTACCAGTAGACTATCCTATCAATTTTAACATTATCCAAGTTTCATTGTCTTTTTAAACTATTAGATTACTGTTACTTTAATTCTATCAATTTGTTTACACATACTTAAAAAGGCCTAAACACAAAATCCAGAATCTGGCTTCCACTGTCTTTAACTCACCTCATTATGCCCAAGCATTGCAGCATGTACGGCGCACCACATACTGATCTCAGACCCCTGCAATAGGTAGGTACAATAGGTTGAGTTGAGGACAGAGTGGAAGCCTTTGTTTTGAAGTGTCTTCTTTTGGGGGGGAAGGGGGGAGGGGAAGAAAGGGGGTACATGAGACTATGGTTTAATTGAGATATATATACATATACATACACACCCAGTATGCACGTCTGGGTGTGGAGGATACAAAATTAGAAAAAGATAAAAGTTTGACCTATGTGGGCATATATTTCCTTTGGGTGGGGTTTAGACAAGCCCAGTCTCGTTACATTTGGCCCTTATCAAATATTATTGTATTATTTTATATCACTACATCTTAAAGGAGGTTGTCTCGATTGTATTGATATCACTCTCGTTAGCTGGATACAAAACACAGCATTAAACACTTCTAGACTGGCAGTAAGTATTAAAAATCAATACGGTACACAATTTATTACTGCCCTAACGTTAAGAATCCTTTCTGAAGTACAAGGACCCCAATTCCTACATACCTTAAAGAAAGCCTTCAAACCACTAGTTATTCCCCAGAATTGAAATGAAGTGAGATGGCCAAAAGTCCATAGAAGAAAGGAATTTAAGACGTTGTGGCAGTTAAAAGCACAAAAGTCTAAAGCCAAAACAATTACTTGAACATATAGTTATATTAAGATGGTCATTTAGATTCTAAATAAAAGTATTGAAAAGACTATTGAAATGGAAATCTTCAGTTTAAAAAATAGATACCAAATAGTCTAAAGCTAAAAATCCCATGTGGTTGGAGATACTGGCAATTTTTAGAGACAAACAGAATTACAGGGGAGTACTGAGAAGTTAGTAGCAGCTCTCTGTAGTAAGCATTTAATATGAAGAAAATCTTAATTATGAGCCAAAGAATTGAACTGCTACTCCAACCACCAAAAATATAAAACACTATCCCCTTTTCTTGTGCTACTTCAGTGTCCGGCAACTTGTGGCCTTACCCCCTAATTATACCTTTGAAATATCTACAAGCTTTGTCCTTGCATTCATGTCACTTCTGCTAGATCCCTGAGGAGCTTTAATTGTCTGAAGAAAAATACTCAAAACACAGCAACTGTTTCTCTGTGTGCATGATATACCACCATTGAGTTACTTCCTCCCTGGTGCCTGCACAAGTTTCACAACATTTTAAATTTCTAAGCAACACCAATGTTACTCTAGTTTTAAAAAATTCCTTTATTATCTAAACAATCAATGAGTTTGTGTACATGTGAAACTTGCACTCATATGTAAGAGTTAAGAAATGTGTGTGTTTTCTTATGAAACAAACGTTGCCAAATTTAAAAACATGTATGTGTGTGTTCTGTCTTACTCAGTTTGCCTTACACATTTTTAGCTATGACCAAGAATTAGAGAGTGGAATGAATTGCGTGTTCTTATTTAATTTCAACTTCTAAAATGTAATAGCATTCATTAATTAAAGGCTAAATCTGGAATATGACCTTGAACAGTAAACATAGATTTACCTTACGCATCCAAGAAGTTTGAAGACAAAGAATGGGTAGTAACAATTTGATAGCTATTAGACACTGACAGAATAATCAAACTTGCAGCCAATAAGTTGCGAGTTTGTGCACCTAGATTAAGGCTAAATCCTCAATACATACACCCATCACATTAAACAGTAAATTTCATTCCCTTAAGGAGAAGTAGCCAGACATTAAGAAGCATCTTCATACATGTTCTGTAGTTTGTCTGCACAAACAGTTAAAGTTAGTCAGCTAAATGGGCCTGGCTTTTCCCAGTGTACTCCAGCATGTTCCAATTTGAAACAAATGTACCTACAGTTCAAAGGAACAATATTATGTAAGTGGACTGTATTATATATTTTTAAAAAATACCATCAATTTTAAAAGTAGAAAAAGAAATTCTTACCTACTACAAACATGGTCTATAAGCAGTGACACAGAATCTAGATTGTTATCTAGTTTGGTATTATGATATAGGCACCGGTCTCGTTGTAGCTCCACAGCTTGACGTAGCAGATTCTGTAAACGCCTTGGGGGAAGCATCACCGACGGTGGTAGGTATGCTTAAAAAAAAAAAAAAACAAAAAAAACAAAAACAAAGAAAGAATACCCACAAAAATTACAAATGCACATTTTATCTTTGAGATCTTTACTGAATAAAAACCCATAAAAAGCTCTAAATTAAAAAAAATCCAACTGCTCAACTTGGTTTACAACTGTGTAACTGAGGACCCAAAGATGAACTCAGATTCACTGACGTTTTCAAACAGAACTACACTTTTTCAGCTCTCTGTTGCTTTTGATCAGCAAAAGTTTCATTTATACAAAGTAGACTGCTGCACGCTGATTTTACCAGTAACATCCTCAACTGTGAGTCTCCACTAGACCACCTTTTGTACTCACTATGAGGAATTCCCAATTAAAAGATAACACACTGTTAGTACTGCTATTAATGGAGCAGTAGAGTCCACCACATTACAGCAGTGCTTTCCAACCTCTTTTCATTTGCAGACTCCTCAAAAATTTCAAATGGGAGTGCAGACCCCTTCGGAAATCTTCGACCACCCCACCCCAAAGGTCAGCGGACCACAGGTTGAAAACTACTGTTTTATACGATAGACCCATAGAATTGAAATGAGATACCACATGCTCTAGGATCAGACAGTCTCCGAGTCAATATCAAGGGCAGCTGCAATACATCCAACATGTTGGCCTATCACAAGTGAGTGACATGGAAGAAGCAACCTGACAGTCAGAGCAGATAGCAGTGAAAACAATTCATATACTTTCTACATATAGCAGAGACGCTGAGAACTGAAAGCTGTTATTACAAACAGCTAGAGGCAGCATAAGATTGAGAGGCACAAGACCTAAGACCCACAAAAAATCACTCAGTCATTCCCATTAACCAGAATTACCTTCCCCATAAAGCACCAGTCATTGATACATTGATAGTAAGTGTAATTAGAATAAACTTTCCTTGAAAGTTATCCTATTAAATGGAATGTACTAGAAAAATATTTGGGGTGTATTTAGAAAAATCTATTTAAATGCTGAACATTAAACATCTTACTCTGGAGTTTGTCCAAGAGTTTAGATCTGGAAGCTGTTCCTTTTCCTTCCCATTCTGCTTTTGCACGCAAGTCTTCTGCATGACTACACATCAGATACCTGTTAAAACAAAGTGAATGAAAAATCCTATTATGGTCTCAACCTTTACAAATTTTTTTTCAATTGTAAGGATGGTGTATATGAAGATGTTCCTGTTTACAATTCATATTTAAGTGGGGTGGGGTAGAGGGGGTTCTAAGAAGAGAGACCTCTGTTTGGGACCTCCCTCTCACATCAACTTATTACAGCCAGAATGTATTGATCTTTAGGACACACAAAACAGTCACTCCTGAACAACTTGCACTCAAGTGAAAGCTTGGACAAATGTATGAGGAGTCAAAGACTAGACTGGGGCAAATTAAAGGGAACAATGACGCTTTATTTTGTAAGCAATATATTTTGTTTTCCCCCCATGCAGATTAACCCAAAAGCGTATGAATTTCAATACAAAAATCCCAACTCAGTGGACTCAGAAGTTTACATTAAGTTTGACTAGTCAATGATGGCACAAAATATACCTAGATGTAAACAAAATTTACTATGCTAACTGATCCCAGTGTGTTTCAGGTATACAGATGTGTTTCAAGCTGCATCATACTAAACTTCTGAATTTCTAGCATAATAGCATTGTCAACGCCGCCAACACTACCAGGCTCTGCAATTCGTCCTTGGGATGGTGACGATACAATGCATTAGTAAGATTTATTGTTGGAGTCCGGGTGATGGACAATAGACATTTGCTCTAGTTCTCTTTTGCTTTGTCACTAACTAGAAAGCTTTAAGGAGAGAAGGTACCAATGCAAGGTAATGGATAAGAGACAAAACCGATCTTGTTTAGACTGGTCTTCAGGAGAGATGAAAAAAAGAAAGACTGTGCACATGTTGCACCCCCTCCCCCCACTCCAAAAACAAAACAACACAACCACACACAACAAACAACCCAACCCCTACATCTACCAACTTGAGAATTATTCAGCTATAGGAAAAGAGACTGAACATGCTTCCTTTAAAGGACATAATTCCAGTCCTTATCAGTTTAGGTTCTGATACCATAAAGGCAGTATATATAAACACTTATTTTGGATGAATAAGGATATGATATGAATCATGATACAACAATACTGTCAGTATAATAAATTTCTTCCCCTTGCCATTTTAAATAGTAGTGATCACCAACAGCATAAATAATTCAGATTTTTAAAACAAGTTAGTACTAAAGATTGAAGAAGGAGGGGAAGAGATAAGAGACCCTACTTCTGCAATGGAGTTTTCCCCACTGACTTCAACAGGAGTGGGCCCAAAAGGAAGAGTGCTTCAGTTTTACCAAGACATTAATTTTACTTATTCCACATGATTCATGTGCACTTTTAATGTTATGAAGAGAGGGCTCAGGAAATATTGACCAGCACTTGTTTCCACAGAATTACACAATCCCTCAGGATATTCTGTAGAACTAATTGTCCAAGCTTAAACACCCTTACCCACTGAGGACATGAATGCGCTCTGTATTGTATTTCAGTGGTGTCAGTTCACAACGTAGAACTTGAAGTGCCTCCAGGACCTTGCCATCCTCCAGATATTCCAGGTACTTCTGCTGTAACAGCAAGAACTTCATCCTCTGACATGACAGAAAGCAGCAGTCAGGGGAAAAAGGTTGAATGAAGTTTCAGAAAATGTTTGAGCCTAAACAGAACAATAGAAGCCATTCTACTATACCCTTCAGAAATACAGCTACATGTAATGTATCATTACTTCTGCCTGGTCTTTCAATATAATTGTGGTAATTACGTTAGAAGTGACCCAAAAATTTTTTTTCCACCTGCCTACTGGAGCTCTGAATATCTTCTTTTCCCTATTTTGAACCCATATCCCTTTCAGTCACTATCCTTCAAACCAGGATTACATGGGATTCTCTCAATCTCATGCCCAATCTTTAAAAAAAAAGTATGCTGCATGCTTGTACAAAGCACGACCAGTAGGTCAGCAAGTCAACCCCCTAACTGGTTTTACACAGATTATGTAGGAGCTCACCAAGGGATTCTCTTTATAGTTGTATAACATGCTGTAGCAACGTATTAACTCTGCAACTAGGCAAAACAAGGCACCGTGCAAATTAAACTTGTTTTCCATAAGTATTAACACTGCCATCTTTTTACTGAAAGCGGAACGATATAGCTTCTCACATTTAGGGCTCACTTAGCCTATATTCACTCCTATCAGAATTCCAATGTGACCTTCACACATTTTCTCACATTTCTCATCAGTAGTCATTATGTTAACTTTGTTAACATGTTCATGGACACAAAATGAAGGAACGCATTCAGTTACACATTTAAAATCTGGAGCCCCCAAAATTTCTTAACATGCTGATCCTTAAGATGAAAGTGAGACCGTTTAGTTGCTTCTACTTTATATAAGCACAGCCACTTGATGTATGCATCTTTTGCCTGTCTCCACTGCTGCTAGTGGCTATCGCCATGAGAAAAGACAAACCCCAGGCCTTCAACAAGTAATGGGGTAAGAGGAAAACCTGAGAATATCTACAGTGAAACAAAATTAAATTTTTAATTAATAAATAAAATAAATAGTGACTTGCTATGCTTTCCCCATCTCTATAGAAACTGAATGAAGTGCAAGACAGATCATAAGTACACTTCAATATTTGATCATCACCTTTCCCCATGTGAGTCCAGCAGACCCCAAAGACCATCAGCTTTTCAACACTACATGTATTTACTCATATTAGTGCATTATATAATTGAGCAAGGTGCTAGCCTCTTCAAATCAAGACACTTAAGAAATATAAAACATTTGTTATACCTTAACTTTACATGATTTACTGCATGTTGTTCATTTTTGCACTTCACCTTGGATAGGGTAGCTACACCGTTCTATTTGATCAGTTTCATTTAATTCTGTTTTTCCATTCAATAGCTCAATGCTGAAATGTTCTGAGCTGCTAACAATAGAATATTTAAATAACTAGAACTTAATTGAAAGATATAGAGAGTAATTTTTGTAAATTAAAAAAAATCCTAAGTTTTAAGACTAAAGGCTAAATTACTTGAGACTGTCTCTTGATTTGAGTTTTACTCAATTTAACATTTGACTGACTATGCAAGCAATATTTTAAAAGAACATTAGTTATCTCTCATTCATGTTGTTTAAGATATATAGTACAGTCATCACAATGGCATGGAGAAAGATACACTACTACAATGAGTCTCGTAAAAATCTCATTCCTGCTATGCATTTGACTAGATGAGAGATATAGATCTTAAATATTTTACCTAGTAGTGGTTTTGTCTGATGCTTTTTGAGGGAACTTAAAACATTTAGGTAAAATATTTGTTTTCCTTCAACTGGAATGCATTCCAGATTGATTATGAATATAGCCTATGACTACTACACTTCATTAAAACATTGAGTGCAACAGACCTTCTGTAACTCTTGAGAACAAACCACATGTATCAAGTTTTCATGTACATGAAAGAAAACTGCTGACTTATCGTATAGCTTTCAGAATTGTATGAAGTTAGCTAGATGTGCATCATCGGACAGATATTTGTAGCTAATTTCATACTATAGCATCTTAGTTTTCCAGTACTCTGATGTCCTGTACCAGATAGGTGAGAACCCCCTTTATATTATTCTCTGTCAGTGCACAGATATTCAGTTTGTTTGCATTCAGCATGAAGAGGAGGCCCATTAGAAAACAGAGTATCTGTACAATTTTTACAGGTATAATGTTGCAGATTTTGGGGTGATGAGTCATTAGAAGTCAGCCTTCCCCTTTTAATACTTCCTATCCACTTATTAGGAAAGTGGAGGGATTGGTTCCTCATGGTAGGTGATCACCACATACACTGAAGTTTGGTGGGGTTTTTTTTAAAACTTTGTTTTCTCAGTTCTTATCCAGAACTTCGTGTTGAATATTCTCCAATTCTCCCAGCATTATCTCAGACAATATTTTGTTTCCTATGTATCCATCCATTCACTTTTTCTTGGTTTCCCTTATCTGCATGGAGATAACTACTTCATCCAATCACTACCTCTACCCCTTTTTAGGACCATTATGCCAGGTAATGAAAGCCATTTCTGTGGAAGAAGAAAAGAGAAGAGAAAATAATAAATGTTTTTTTTGTTGTTGTGCCAATATCAGCAATTTCATGGAAATCCCTGTAAAAGTAAGGCAGAGGCACTGTCTCCATGACTCATTTTATCCATACTAGTACAAGAAGCATGTCAAAATTGACCAACGTTCAGCCTTTATATTGTTTATAGCAACCAAGGCAGAGTACTGTTGCCAAGACAGCTGAATATGTACATTCTCACAGTTGGTTCAGAGCATATTTTCCTTTTAAAAAGTCCTTTAAACCTTTCCTTTTAAACCTGATGTACAGCATTAAAGATGAATTGAGGAAGAAGTGTTGCATTCTGCTGTTTCTATGACATAATTAACACTAAAACTGGTTCAATGTTAAAGTGACCATACATAGAGAATTGCTAGGGTCTAAGCTTTGAACAGGGTTGAGCAAAATCAGGATTGAAAAATGTTACGTGGTTTAAGTATATATATTGTCAGTGCTTAAACTATAAAACGGGACGAAACTGGATGTTTTATACTTTTCCTTAGTTTCCTAGTTATATAAAGATTCTATATAAAATATGAACTTCTTAGTGGTTTCTCTTAAAATACTCATCCAAGCTGAAAAAGCAAAGTCCAGGGCCCCATCAACATCCTTACTGTGAAAACCCTGCAAACCAGATAAGCAAATAGCCCATTCTAGAACTACAAGCAACACCATCTTTTGATATTCTGAATGTCCTCAAATTGAAATCAAGAAAATTGAAGTGTTTTGATCGGTGTTTGTGGTTTGAAGTCAATGGAACGTGTGTTCGTATATCATTTAGGAACCTTACTTTAGGCTTTTATTTTTGAAAAACTGACTTGCATATATAAAAACGAATTCATAACAATTTTATTAGTATATTGAAAATCTAAATAACTTTTCATTGTTAACATCAAAGCAATTTTGTTTTGAAGTGACAATCACCACCACTAAGAGAGAAGTTTAATAAAAATATAATTTTAGCCTCCTAATGCTGCAACATTTATGTACATGCTTAGCATAAATAGTCCTGTTGAAGTCAATGAGAATATTTATGTGAGTAAAGTTATGTGTCTGGTTTGAAGAATCAGGGCCTTAACTTTCAATATTCTGTTTTTCCACCTATGGCAGTTTTGTAAAAATCAAATAAGATACTCTACTAATAGTGGCACTTAACAATAGCACAATTTTTTCAAGCAAGTTTAACAAAACCTCAACCCAATTTAACCCCCCCCCCCCCCCCAAACAAAACAAAAAAGTCACTTGATTGATGTCAGCAAAGTAAGTTATTCCAAACTGGTCTGGATCTCTGCTCTCCTGTCCACAGGGAGGCTGTGCATGCCATTCCTGGGACAGAAACTCTTATGCTGTTGTTGAGTAGCCTCCTCTAGGCAATCCAGCAAAGCCATTGACTGAAACTAGAGGAAGCTGCATCTAGCAACTCTCTTTTAGGTAACCAGGTACAAGGCCTCTGAGTGAAAGGAAAAGGAAAACATGAGAGGATCCTGGAGTGTATCCCCTTCCAATAAGGAATCATTACATCTTTTAGGGCTTCTCTACACAGCAAATTACTCCTGATTAACCTCCATGTGTGGACACACTAATTCCACATGGAGTTAATAAGGAATAGTTAATCTGCTCTTAATTCACACCCTAGTTTATTCCAGATTAATTTTCATGTGTAGACAAGCCTTTAGCTGATACCATAGAGTTAGGAAATCTGAAAGCCCCCAGTTGGAATTCAAATGATCATTGAACATAACTGCAGGTAGAAGTGCTATTTCTCTTAAAAGTGTGATGCTCAAATTCACCTAGCTAGGATGAATACCATTATCTGACAGAATAACCCCAAATCAAGTGTAGACAAGTGAAATTTCACTTGGAAATTACAAGTGCACTGACTGAAATGCTGGCCTGGGCCAAAAACCAAAGTGGATATCCTTACATTTTTTGAAAATACCACCTAACACGGGGTGGGCAAACTTCTTGGCCTGAGGGCCACATCAGGTTTCAAAAATTGTATGGAGGGCCAGTTAAGGGAGGTTGTGCCTCCCTAAACAGCCAGACGTGGCCCGGCCCCCCGTCCTGCTTCTTGCCCCCTGATGGCCCCCCCTTCCCTGATGGCCCCCCCAGAACCCGACCCCTGACTGCCCCCCGCCGCCCCATCCAACCCCTCTTCCCATTCCTGACTGCCCCCCCCGGAACCCCTGCCCCCATCCAACCCCATCCACACTCCCTAAGTACTCCCCCCAAACTCCTCTGTCCTCGATCCACCTCCCCGCCCCCTTATCACGCTGCCTGGAGGACCAGCGGTTGACGGAGCTACAGCTGCGCCACCTGGCTGGAGTCAGCCACGCCACTGCACAGCACAGAGCACCAGATCTGCTGTACTGCCCCAGGAGCTGCAGGGGAGGGAAAACAGTGGGGGAGTGGCTGGGGGCTAGCCTCCCAGGCCAGGAGCTCAGCGGCCAGGCAGAAGGATCCCGTGCATAGGCACCGACTCCGTGGGTGCTCCGGGGCTGCAGCACCCACAGAGAAAAATTGGTGGGTGCTCTGCACGCACTGGCAGCTCCCTGACCCGGTTCACCTCTGCCTCCCCCTTGAGCGCGCTGCCGTGTCCTGCTTCTCCCCCCTCCCTCCCAGCGCTTGTGCCGTGAAACAGCTGTTTCACGCAGCAAGCATTGGGAGGGGGGAGGAGGAGAAGGAGGAATGCAGCATGCTCAGGGGAGAGGTCCAACAGGAGCAGGGAGGGGGCGGAGGGGCACGAGCACCCTCCAGCGCCAACAAAAGTTGGCGCCTGTGGTCCCATGGGTCGTAGTTTGCCCACCTCTGACCTAACACCAGAAGAAAGTTTTGATTTTCATGTTTGGTCCACTACTCTGGATAAGGCTTTCTTCTGGCTCCTCACCCAATTGCATCCCCCATACTATGTTACACGAAGTACAGACATGGCTAGCCATATTACTCAACGGTAGTACAGGGCACAATTGCCTTTCAGTGGTGTTTACAAATTAACTAAGAGGGGAGGCTACTTTTCATTTTTAGCTCAGGCCAGATGCAGCAGCTGTTTAATGAACCCACAAGTTTAAACTTAGATCAGTAGTTTGTACCTTAATATGCAGCATTTATAGCACTTCCATCTGTGATCTCAAAGCACTTTATGGGCACTTTATGCCCATGTTCACAGACAATTTATAATATACATGCAGTACAACTCTATGTTCACATAGCTCATTTTTGATCAGAAGTTGTGAAAATTTTGATATCCAGATCACCCTTGACCAAGTCACAATAAAAGTAAGATTCCCTAGCCTATTAAAGCTTACAGCAAAATGTCAGTAAGATTGACTTTTTACATACACACACCCCCGCCCACTCAACTTCAGATACATGTGGTCAAACTGCCAGGTTGAGATTCAGAAACCCAAACCCATATGATCTTGGTTCATAAAACACAAACAGCATTTCTTTCCCTAAAGGATATGGCGATTTACTGCACTTATTCTACTAAGTGCTGTTCAACATCAGCTGAATGAACACATTTTTTAAAATCTAAAATTATGATAAAGTTTGACTTAAAAACAGAAACCAGAAGATTGTCAATATAAAGTTGCCAAAGTGTGTACACATTGAATTGAGTTGTTTTACTTTTTTCATGATAGGGTAGAAATAGATGAAGTCCAGGCACTAGTAAGATTACTAGTGATTTAAAAAACAAAAAACCAAAAACCTTAATTATTTAACTCCCCCCACCACTAGGGCCATGAGTGGGAGAAAGATAACCCCACCCCTTAAAATAAATAGAAGTACCTACAACATCACTGAAAGTGCAAAACCCAGAGATTTAATCATCTTTTATTAGATCTGATTATGTTCTATAGATTGTTTTTTTACAAAAAAAAGTCTAAGCTGTGACAATTAAAAAAATCAAGTGAGCTTTCCTTTTACAGTTGCTACTTATTGCTCTAAATTGGACTGAAATCTTGCAATAACCATAAAATAATCCAGACAAATATCTTCCAATCAGCGTTAAAAAAAACTTGATAGGTCACCCCTATAAAAGTTTATTAATAGCTTTTAAAAAAACTCAAATACTAAAACGTCTGACTCTAAAGATATGGATGATAAAACAGATAAAGTCCTATCCCCATACCTTACATCTTTTATTTAAAAAGAAGTCTGCCACATGTACAGTAGTAAGAAAATAAATTAAAGTCAGTATTTGTTACTTTTTTTATTCATCAGACTCAGTTTAGATGAACAAAATACACTTTACAGCATCAATCTAGTTTAGAGAAGGTAGAGTCTGAAAACAAAATTCACATTTCTATGAGTTTTACTCAGTTGGAGTATATTTTCCCCAAGGTTAGGGCTGCTGATAATAGCTCATCTCAACTAATTAGCCTCTCACAGTTTGTATGGCAACTTCCAACTTACTATATGTTGGATTCTATGCATCCAATGAAGTGGGCTGTAGCCCACGAAAGCTTATGCTCCAATAAATTTATTGGTCTCTAAGGTGCCACAAGTACTCCTGTTCTTCATACTTTGGATTCTCTAAAAGCAAATCGTCCTTGTTTTCCTCTTTTGTCAAGATTACCTATTGTACAAAAATCCTCATAGTTTGACAATTTTTTCATGCACTAGAATGGACAGCACCATTTTGAACGGAATCGCAAAAACGCATATCCCCAAAATGTAAATGTTATCAGAGTTCTAAATTCAATAGATGCTACACTCTTGGGTATGTAACAGGCTTCTGAATTCTCACTCCTCAGGAGACACTGAAAATGTACACATTATTTTGGTATATTCTGTTTGTATAGTCTGTCTTGACCCAGGTTTTTTTTCCTGCCGTCTTTTAAAAAGCTTGCCTTTCAATATTAGCCTGCAAAGCAAAAAACAGGTACTAGAACTATAGCTTAATAGAAAAGACTTTGGAGGGGTTAAACTTTCACACAATTACAGAACAAGATGTATCTTCTTTCAGGCAGCCACTGATGTTTTGTTAAACATCTGTTTTTCCTACTTCACTTCCTGTTCTCTCTCTTCCCCTCCCCCACCAGGCAGGAAACTCTCCTCCTGACAACAAAATGAATCAGCTAGAAGTAAAAAGCTAAGCAGCCATCAGCTGATTCCTCACTGTGTACAGCCACAGGCACTTCAAAAAGCAGTGTTACTTTTTTCTCCTCAAATACTACAAAACTACACTGAATAGCTTATGTCCAATTAATTTCAGTAACATTTAACATAGTAAAAAAGATGTTTGAAGACAGACTAGGGCTGTATGTAACCATTTTGATCCTGGGTCATAGAAATAAAACCAGAAACTCTTTGTATGTCAGAGTCCACAAAGTTATTGAAACCACATACATTAAAACCAAATAAGCTGTAACTCTGTCAAGTCACAGGATCGAAACCATAGCGTGAACAGAGTGAACACACATTACCAGACTGGTCTGCTTTAAAAATAATTTAAAAGAGGACAAAGCTCTACAAAAATTCCAAAGAGTGACACACACATATTTGTTCTTTAAAAGCTATCTAGAAAAGCAACAGTATTGTTCATTTTCTATAACAGCGACTATATTCCCATAACATTCTATTGCAGTATGCAAACTCCCACAGTACCTAGGTATTCTACATTGTATCTAAGCTTGGTTCTTTAAGAAAACATATAAAAATCAGCTATTTCAAAATCAGAAGCACTTTTCAAATTTCTCTAAAGTAACTGAATTAAATAAACAGTTTCAACTGAAGTTATCCAATGTATGGATTTTAAATTAGATATACAGGAGTACACAATTTGAATTCTGATCCATGAAGAAAGACTTTAATAAATTTACACATTAAATGCATTGAGTATTGGTCTTAATATTTTTAGGCTCTCTCTCACATACTACAAAATGATAGGAGACCAAATTAGTATTGTGCTCGAGACTTCAAGCTGCTTACTAAAATAAATACATTAACTCTCAACTAGGTACAAAAAAAGTGTATTACTACAATTATTCCAAACTATATCTGAAACAATTCAAGATGTGTTTCTTACCACAATTGCGTGAGGAGAATGCACCAATGGCTTAAGTTCATTCAAGTCATTCTCAGCCTGCAAAAATTGGTATAAAAAAGAAACATAAGCTTGAAGAACCATGAAATGCATTTCACATACTATACATTTAACAGTAGTTGTGCAGTCCTATATGCCCCACATACATTACCTTATCCCATTCTCCTTCCATTACATGATTGCGGAATTTGGTAGCAGAAGGATGTTCTAAACGACATCCTGACTCTTGCATGAGAAGATCAACAGTCTGGCTGCAGGAGAGATACAGTGTAAAAAAAAACTGACCAATTTTACCCTTAAAATGCACCACCCACTGCAATAAGCCTGCAATAGATAAAAACTGACTTTTTATGAAGCAAAAGAGTTATAACCAGATTCAGAAACATGTGAACAGATAAGTATTCCAATCACTCAATTCACTTCAATAGACAGCTCTCTATCCACAAGAGTGGTTGATTGGTTTGAAAACTTGCATGAAGTGCCAAGATGGTCGTCTTTGACTAACTAATCATCTCGGACAAGCATGTCTAGATAGAAATAAACCAGTTTTTAGCAGCAAGTTGTCTGCACAGAGGAAAATATAGGTTATAAACACTAGATGTGCCTCTATAACCCTCAGTAGAGAATGGGTATAAAGGGCTGCCACTGCTCTGTATTAAGATGTCTGCAGAGATAGTCCTAGCCTTTGTTCATGTCAGGACTTTAAAAGGTTCGTTCCTTAAAATAAAAAATAAGCAAACCCACTAACTTGTAACCCTCCCCCTTTTGTGCTAAAAATAGCATATTTACTGTGGTGTAGCCTATAAACAGTCACAAGCTGTCTCCTGCTGTGGAGAATCTGCCTCCTATGTCAGTGGTGCATTTTATTTTATGTACTAAGTTCATTAGAATCAATCCAGCCCCACAACAGTTTGCCATCTCTCCTTTGGTACTTCCCTTGTAGCTTTATTTTCTGGGGCATCATCTATAGGAGCCCTCCGAAAATCTCAGTATCCACCTAGTTGCTATTATGTTTTATTTAGAAAAGGGGGAGAGGGGTGTTTATAAAATCCAGATGGTTCATCTCTCTGTATTTTTATTTCGCCTCCCTCCACTGCATACTCACCCAAAAATACTGCAGTGCTCTAAGCCACGGAAGAGCCAACCTATTTGTCATTTTAATTTTTTCACTCTATAGATAGCTTTTGAAAAAGCTATTAGACATATGGCCAAACCAAACCTACAAAAGCTTTCATCCAATTACACGAACACAGGCTCTGCAGTCAGAATCCTAAATACTGGTTTAATTCTTCGGTTGGTTTGTTTACAATTAACCACTGAGCTCTTAAGACTTTAACAAAACAAAAACCTCCAAGTGTCCAGGCTCCATTATGTTCACCAGATCACTTCGCCACCACTACCACATTTGTATTGATCTGAGTTTAGTGGTATGTGATTGGGCTTTCATACTGTCATCTCTGGCAGAGGAAGCTCTACCTGTTCCCCACCACGGTTCAGACAGTCTGTCTCGAATGTACAAAGCTTGAATGGAAGAGCCTTAAAGACAGGCCCCTCACGTCATTATTTTCAACACATCAGGTCTGCCCCACAGTTCCCCTTCATATACACTTACTGATCTCTCTATACAATGGGATATCAAGCTGTGACAAGGTAGTATGTGGGAGAAGGCGGCCCCTTTCCTCCCCTCCACCGTCCAAATCTTACGTATGTGGGTCATAAACAGATTTGTTGGTCTGTCTCCCATGGGCACAAATGGTGCCCTAAAACAGAACAAGTCTCCCAGCACCATTCTTTTCCCCCGGCCCACTCCTGCACCAAGCCAGCCCCCTCCCCACTTTTGACTCCTCTCTCCTTATCGATGTGCAATTCAGCTACATCAGCGCGGACCTACAGCAGGGGAGGGGCCCCTAAGGTGCCACAAGTACTCCTTTTCTTTTTGCGAATACAGACTAACACGGCTGTTACTCTGAAATCTGATTCCCACCCAGCCTCCCTCCTGGTCCCTGTGGAGGAGGAAGCGGGGGGGGAGGGTCCACATAGCACCGCTAGAGGGGAAGGGGAGGAAAACGGGGCCTCGCCGTGTGGGGCTCCCTTACCCCCACTAGCCCCCCGCCGTATGAGGGAGAAAGGGATCGGTCTCCCTTCTGAGAGGCGCGGGCACTTACTTGAGGCCCAGCCCGTGGAGGTGCTGCCCTATGAGCCGGATCACGTCCTCGTCGGACTGCGAGAGCCGCTTCTTCTTCTTCAGGGCGCTGCCGCCGCCTCCCCCCAGCTCCGCGGCGGCCGAGCCGGGGCCCCCGGCGGCCGGGACCCCGTTGTTGACGCTCAGGCCGCCGGGGCTGATGCTGCTGCCGCCGCTGCTATTGGCCGCGGAGGGCAGCAGCCCGTTGGCGTGAGCCAGCTGCTCCCCGGCGGCCGAGCCCGACGAGGCCTCGCCGTTCTGGGCGCCCAAGCAGCCCAGCTCCGGGCCCGCCGGCCCCTGCGGCGGCGGCGGCTGCTGGCCTCCTCCTGCCCCGTTGGCCTGCATGGCGCTGCTGCTGCTGCCTCTGAGCGGGGCGGCAGGGGGGGCGAGCCCGGCGGAGAGCGAGGGGGACTGGGACGAGGTGAGGCCTGCTCTGCCCGCGGAAGCCCCGGGCTCGCCTGCTCCCTCCGCCGCCGCCGGGGAGGCCCGGGCTTTCTTCCGCGGGGGCGGGGAGGCTCCGCCGGTGTCCGAGTCGGAGGAGGAGGAAGCGGAGGCCAGAGTTTCCTCGCCGAGAGCGGCCGTGGTGGGAAGCCGGGGGGCGGGAGGGGCGAGGAAGGGAGGTGAGGGAAGGAGGAGCGGGGCCCTGTCCCCCCCCGGGGTCCCGGAGGCAGCGCCGCCGCCCGCTCTGGGCTCCCTCTTGTTATTGCTGCCGCTGCCGCCGCCGCCTGGAGCCCCCGCCCGGCCGCCCCAGGCGCCCGGCCTGCTCCGCGCCGCTGGGTTTGTCACTTCTCTGCCCAGCTGCAGCCTAATGGAGTCCGGGCCGGGACGTCACAGGAAATTCCTATACTGCCCCCTACACCCACTTCCGCCGCCCGGAGCCGGTGTGGAGCCTATGGGGTAGGGGGCCGAGAAGAGCGGGGCTTCACCCTGCTTGTGCAGCGGCAGGGGATGGGGGGAGGGCACAGACCCAGAGGGGGCTCTGCCACACACCTGTCTAGCTGCCTCCCACCCAGCCCGGTGTGCCTACCTAGCATGTCTCTGTGTACACACTGTGTACATGTGTCCTGATCTGTAATACATATGGACAGACTATATATAGGTGTATGCACATCTGTAGGCAAGTGTGTAAATACACACACACGTGTATATATACACACATACTTAGATATATAGATGATACACACACACAAAGATAGATGGATAGATGACACACACACACCCCAACATCAAATGTGCTAAAAGAACATTATTAAGGTTGCCAAGTGATCACTGAAAAGTTAAATGCCAGAGTTAAAGTGAAACCCTAATTTGGCCCCCTTGTGCCTATGCATTAGGAGATCATCTTTAATTACATGATCCCATAGTATTTTTTCCACAGAAGCCTACTGCAGTCAGTGCATAGTATAGACAGTTCTCACTTAATGAGCAACTAATCAATATTTTGTTTTCTCCTCATTGTTTAATAACATACTAGTCAAACCCTGCTCTCAATCAGAATTATTAATTTTTCATGAACTTTATCATAGTGTTCACAAACCTCTATGAATTTATTTTCACAACATCCCTGTGAGGTGAGAGGATATTATTATCCCCATTTTACAGATGGGCTCCCGAGACACGGAGATAAAAGTAAAAAGTTCCCAGTAAGTTTGGATGCCAAACAGATACCTAGGATATAATTTGGCAGAGTACATATCATTACATAGCACTTTATGTGTTCAAAGCACAGTTCCATTAACTTCAATTGTAGCTGTGATTGCTCAGCAGTTTTGCAAATCTGGTCCCAGGAAATGAGGAGTATAAGAGTAGTGACCACATCTGAAAAAATTAGTTTCAAGTGACTTGTCTAGCAACACATAGGAATTCATTGCAGAGGCAGGGATGGACTCCAGTTCTCCAGGGTGCATTCAGTGCCATAACCACAATACTGTCCTTTCTGCAATCATCTGTCTCATCCACTCCATATCTATCACAAGCACATTTTCATGTGCAGGTGGTGGAATCCCCTTGGTGTGGCAGAGGATGTCCCGGCTGGTACCAGCAGACTTAGAGATCTCCTGGACTACGATCAAAGGGACTGGGTAGACCTGCGGCACTTGATCAGCACATGAGGCTGTCCACCCTGCATGTCTCCTGTTGTATGCTCCAGGAGGTGAGGGCAGCCTTGTCTCCTGCTTCTCCCACTTTCCTTGAGCAGGTGCTGCAGGAGGGTGCTCCCTGACTATTCCTCACGCTGGCCCTCTGGATCTTGTCATCCTGCCTTGTGAGTCTCCCTGCTGTCCCTGACATGCCACCTGAGCTGGCTGCACAACATCCAACTGATCCACCTCTGAACCATGCCTGGAAAAGATCTGTATGCACTCACCCTTCATACTATTCACTTCCTCACCCCCGTGTTCCACACTGACACCAGGTGGCGGGACCTGCTGCCACTGGAAGAGGGCAAGGAACCCTGGTGGGCCAGTCTGTGCTCCACTCTGGTTTCACTTCCCACCAGGGATATTAGTTGGTGGCTCCTCTGAGCCATGAGCACAGGCGTGTACCTGACATGGTTCATGCACTCCTCTGATACATATCCTTCCTGTGATGAGAAGGAGACACTAGTACATATCTATGTAGGGTATATCAGGTGGCAGCCCTTCTTCTGGCTCCTCCAGAACCTCTTACTAAGGTTATAGCTGCATTTTCCCCTGCTTTTCCTGATCTGTGCACCCCTCCTCGTCCATCTTCTCCTGGCTTTGGCAAAGATGGCCATCCATCACACCAGAAGAAGGAAGTTGGATGGGGGGTACTCTGTGACTGTGGAGTCTATTTCCATTCCCTTTTTCAATCATATCTGGGTAGAGTTCCTACCCAGGTGGTGTCTACAAATTCCTTAGACACCTTTGAGGAGTGTTGGGCACTGTCCGGGGTTCTCTGCTCTGTGTCCCCCTCTGGCTGCCTTATTTTTAACCTTTGACTTAATAACTTTAACCCTTAACCTGTTTCTGTTTTCTCTTTCATTGTCCCAAGTACTCAACTGTGACTCGGGCTTAGTGGTTCCTCCCACTTAGTTGAGGGGGTGGGCCTTAACTTTTGGGCAGGCCTAGATCTGCCTGTCCCAGTGCTAATACATCTGTCAGAGGCACATCTTCATATGTAGGTGGTGGAGTACCCCTTGGTGTGCTTGAAGATAGTCCTGGGTAGTACCACCAGAATCAGAGACCCCTGGACTACAATTAGAGGGATTGGATGGACCCCGTGGTGCTTGGCCGGTGGACCCCGTGGTGCTTGGCCAGTGCATGAGCTTGACTACCCTGTGCATCCACCATTTTGTGCTCCAGGAGAGGAAAGCTTTTGTCACCTATCTTGAGTGGTCCTGTGTGACAGTATTCACATAAACTGTGACTGTATAGATCATCATTGCAGCCACTGTTATATATTTGCAGCAAATATTGTACAAAGGTTGTCATGTGAGGTGTCTATAAAAAGGTTATGATTTGCTGGTTGTGATTATGATATCTGTATTCATGTATCAATTTTGTAGTTGAAGTTATAAATATTGGCTATGTACTTGTATCTCAGTGTGTTTGATTCCAAGTAGCCTCATTTAAGCAGTTGGTCAGCTTCTTGAGAAAGGACTATTCTCAGTAAGTGCCCAATCAAGAAACACTTAACTGACAATGGACTTTGGGGGATGCCAATCCACATCTGAGCTTTCCTGGGAACATTCAAACTAACATGTAAACAGTGGTGTCGGCCTGAGTCATGCATGGACATGTGACTTGCCCATGACTCCAAACTCCATCTTGCTGCTGTGAATTCCACAGTAAGAACAAAGGGGTATCCTTCCACCTGGCAGAGAATATAAAAGACCCTGGAAACCCATCCATTTTATCTTCAGTCCTGCTTCTTACTTCTGGAGGAACCTTGCTACAAACTGAAGCTCTGAACAAAGGACTGAATGACCCATCCCAGCTGTGGATGTACTCCAGAAATTTGATTTGAACCTGCAGTTTATCCCATCACTACTACAAGCCTAAATCAAGAACTTTGCCATTATTGTATGTAATTGATTCCATTTAACCAGTTTTAGCTCTCATCTGTGTTTCTTTCTTTTTATGAATAAACCTTTAGATTTTAGATTCTAAAGGATTGGCAACAGTGTGATTTGTGGGTAAGATCTGACTTGTATATTGACCTGGGTCTGGGGCTTGGTCCTTTGGGATCAGGAGAATCTCTTTTTTCTTTTACTGGGGAATTGGTTTTCATAACCATTCGTCCCTATAACAAGTGGCACTGGTGGTAATACTGGGAAACTGGAGTGTCTAAGGGAATTGCTTGTATGACTTATGGTTAGCCAGTGGGGTGAAACCAAAGTCCTCTCTGTTTGGCTGGTGTGGTGTGCCTGAGAGGTGGAAAACCACCAGTTTGGGTCTGACTGCCCTGCTCTAAGCAATTTGTCCTGAATTGATACTCTCAGTTGTGTCCCACCAGAGGCAGCATCGTTACATCCTGCTGGAGGGCACTTCCTGCCAACTCCTCAACCTCAGCCCTCCAGCTCTCATCATCAGGCCTCTGCCCTGTGATTTCCTCTCTCCCCCACCCCGGATACCTCTAGTGCACCACCTAAGCTGGCTGAGCACCATCCAGCAGGCCCTTCTCCAAACCATGCCCCAAGAACATCTCTACATGCATGTGCTTCATACCATCCACGTCCTTGCCCTCATGTCCCACCCCAACACAAAAGTGGTGGGACCTGCTGTCACTTGCGGAGGGTGGAGAGCCCCAATACACCATCCGGACCCACGATCCACTGGGGATCTCAGTTGGCAGCTCCTTCACAGACACATGAACATGGGCATATGTTTGGCACAGTTTACAGAGTCCCCTGACACCTGTCCTTTATGTGGCAAGATGTGACACACATCTACATAGAAAGTGTAAGCTGCTGCCCCTCTTTCAGGTACTCCAGAACCTCCTGATGAGACCCACTCATCTCAGTACCTTCAATAGGTTTAAGAGGGCACTGAGTCCATGTGACATGGTATACCAGACCCTCTGAGGCCCCCTGCTGGAGATCTTGTGACCCTGCCACACCCTGCCCCAAAAAAGGGCAGTGGAGAGGGTCCTCCAAACTGCCTACAGTGGCTGTGTGGGACACAGCCAATCAGGCCCAGCAGCCTAGTATAACAAAAGCTGCAGGGCCAGAGCAGGGTGTTCAGTGCCTTGCTGCAGCTGTAGGAGTGTGGGTGTCTGATAGAGCAGTGCTGCCAGAAACCAGGGAGAGTGAGAAAGAGCCCTGAGCTGGTTGCTGGGACTCTAGTAGGACAAGGCCCTGAGGTAAGGGTGAAGATGGTTTGGGGCCATGGAGAAGTGGCCCTGGGAATTTGAGAAGCCATGTGATATAGTTAAAGGTACATAGCAGATGGCTGTGATCTACAGGGTCCCTGGGCTGGGACCTGGAGTAGTGGGCTGGCCTGGGCCACCCCTACCCCCCATTAGTCACTGGGGGGAAGTGGCCTGGGTACTGAGGCTCCCCAAAGGGGGAACTGAACTCCAGTGGCACAGCTGGAGAGCTATAGCCAGGAAGCCCCAAGAGAGTGAAGACACTGTCTCCAGGGAGGGAGCCTGGGGGCACTGCTCTATCCCAGAGTAGGGACAATCTGAGAGGGTGTGCACAAGAAGTGAGTGCACCCTATTACAGTCCAATACATCTGAACTGATTGCCTGCTGCCCACTTGGGCTTAAGGAAAGGTACCTGGGCCTTATAAAGGGGGAGACAGCTGCATTTGGTTGTTGACAGGTGCTGCGGGGAATAAGAAGGCTTCTGCAAGGCT